CTATGGCTAATAATTTTTCATTCTTTCTGTCGTTTATTTGCTCTTGCTCAGAGCTTTAAATGAAACTGTCAGCTAAAATAATGGTTTACAAATATGAATACTATCGTTTATTGTTACATTTCTCCGTAGCAATATTGTATATTGTGTTTCAAAATGCATAATTGTGACAGGTCTAACAACAACTACTATCGCCGCTATCATGGTGACAGAATGGTTAGCACTTTTGTAGATGCTACTTATACCGGGAGGACAGCCTAAAAAGACGAGCTGACATGTAATTCCTCAGGATCAAATTGCCTTATACATCCTTCAGCCTAACGCATAATACTGCTAATGCACCATTGGCCCAAAGGCGCTGTCCTATTATTGGTTAACAGACACAACACAAAGCAATCACAGCGAATCGCGAAGACCACGCCGTGTCTCGGAATCTGTCTGTACATTTAATTTACTCAACAAACGACAAATGTGTCCTTACAAGGGCACGTAAATGAGCCAATCCCAGGCGCTCCATATCTGTCTCCGGCTCCCACTATACAAATATAGCAAATTCAAAGTGGCTGGTCTATAGTTAGAAACAATATGGCCGTCTGGAGACACGCGTGGCTCAGTATGCGCATGCACTTCATTAGAGGTGGACTACCTTGTGGGGTTATTAATATTCTGTCTAATTTACCCTATCAACCTCTTTATCTTAGCGCCAATGTGACTGTCACCTTCAATTGACCAGCCAGGACTGCTCCAGATGGCCAATGTCAATTCTTATTCAAAACCACACGCGCATTCCCTACGTACTGTATGTTTTTTCTTTTGTGCATGTTACATTCAAACACTTCATCCCCCATCTTTGTCTCTCTCTATCTTTTTATCTATCACTCTCCTCCACTCGGTAACAAATGACAGTGCAGAATGGATGTCCTCTTCATTTGCACCCGAATAATGTGGTGTTGAAAAATGAAGTGATCCCTCCAGACAGATTACTCATCAGCAAGGGGGGACCTCTGCGGGGGAACGCGTGTTGCAGATGCATTACTTTCACCAAGGCCATGGCTTTGACTGTAATATTTCAGAATACATTATTGGAAGGCTACAGGCACGCAATATTAACAACGTTCAACCTGTGTCAGGGCTCCGTTCTGAGTAGACAGATAATCACCAAAATTGATCGATTTCTTGCTCTTGACATTTCACGCATTGACAATATGATCATTATTTCCAAATCTCATACTTTTTTCCTTATAATCCAATGCCAGCTCCAAATCTCAAATGATTAAAGTGTAAATATTTTAATAAGACTCTCTGTAGTCTAAACTCAGCCAAATGTGTGGAACCCAATCCCTGTTGTACAATAAGACGTTCATTTATGGGAAAACTAATAAAGCATTTCCCCTTGGCTATAAAATCCATGTATCATTCGTTCATTCGTTTTTCAATATAAAACCAAAAATAAGAAAATGAAAAAAACAACTGTTTTCTTCATGATTTGTCTCCAAAACGAAAATGAAAAAACAGACAATGATATGTTTTTTCAGTTTTTGATGTTGTGTTTAAATGAATAATGGAAATAACGGATAACTGCCATTTCCTTTTTTCATGACTTAAACTGCGATGCCGGACTTTTGCACTGGAAAATTTACGGAACCAGGACTGAACCATGACTAAAACAGGACTGGTCTGGTCCTGGTCTGGTCCCAATCTCAGTCCCGGTCTGATCCAGGTCTCAATCCCTGTCTGGTCCCAGTCTGGTGCCAGTCTCAGTCCGGGTCTGGTCCTGGTCTTAGTCCCAGTCTTAGTCCTGGTCCTGTTCCCGGTCTGGTCCTGGTCTTAGTCCCAGTCTCAGTCCTGGTCCTGTTCCTGTTCTCAGCCCCGGTCTCAGTCCCGATCTCAGTCCCGGTCCTGGTCTGGTTCAGGTCTGGTCCCGGACATGGTTCAGTCCTGGTTCAGTTTCTGGCATCACAGTTTAAGTCCCAGAAATGGGAAACAGCGGTTATCCTTTTTTTCCATTATTCGTTTAAACACAAAATCGAAAACTGAAAAAACAAATCGTTAATCCGGTTTTTCTTTTTTTTTTTTTTTAGATTTGAGGGCAAATAATTTTTTCATTTTCTTATTTTGGGTTTTATATTGGAAAAACAAATGAACGAATGATACACGGATTCTATAAGATCCTTTGTATATGCAATATATACAAAGGATTTTCTCTTCTCATACAATGCTACGTTTTCAAACTTTTGCACATGAAAAAATCTTTTTGAAATAAATCTTTTTTTTTTTTCTGCATACTTATTTTGGGAAGAGCAATAGTTCAAGTTATTTAAAAATACTAAACAAAAAAGGATACAGAACAACATTCCTTATTGTGCTTCTTTTCATTTTAACTTAACTTTCTTTCAAACAATATAAATAACACTCTTTAATTATCCAAATCCACTTTATTTATATGGCACATTTTAAAAACAAAACAGTTTCCAAAGTGCTGCACAGAGATAATAAAAAGACAAGCACAAATGGTCTAATTGCTAAAAAAAAAAAGACTACATACTAGTCCAACAGCAATACAACAGTATGAGATCAAATAAAAAAGAAAATAATAAAACAATAAAATAGCAATAAATATAATAAAAACAATAAATAAAAGACACAGAGGACCACACAACTCGAGAGAAAATAAAAGTGGGTCTTAAAGCTAAATCCACTTTTTAGAGCTTTTATTCTGCGTTACCATATTATAGTTGTTTCCCCTTATCATTTACTCACCCATGTTTTCAGCACCACCAGTATATGCCCACTGTTTTTGTTTTTTTTTTTTTATAATTTCTTCATTCTCCAATAAAATTTTCCTTATCTATGATTCTTGTAGGATTTTGCGGCGTTGCATAGTCATTTTGGTACAAATGAAAACAAAAATTTGCAGACTCTATGTTGTCAGCTGACTTGTTTCTTTTATTAAGTCATTTTTTATGAATATTTTAATTTCAAACATGCAAATTATAACAATGATCCACTGGGGTCATAGATTAGCTATTTAGCAGACAAAAGCACAATATTTACTTTTCTAATTAATGACATAACCTGACTGCAATATGTCTGCTAGATCTTCATTAATACATATTATGTGTACTACAGCTGGCAGTAGATATAGATGACAATGATGTACTTTCTCTATGCAGAAGAGAAAGGAATTTGTAAGATTCTAAAAATTCAGTTCTATTGTATTTTCACCTGAATCAAAGTGAGTAATCATTCTTTTTTAAATGAAACCATGTACCCAGGAGGCAGAACAGGTTGAGGCCTTAAACACTCAAAGTTGCACATGTACAAAGTGCTCAGATTTGGTATTTTTTTTATTTTAAGGGGAATGAGACATCACCAAACTGTGTAAAAAAAAAAAAAAGTACCTGTGGAGATTGATGTAGGTGTAATAAAAATTATGCCACTTATGAAACACCATTATCCCAGAGTGTGGGAGTCAGGATGGATATTATGTTATGTCCTCGATATTTGAGAGATCACAGTGTCACAAAACCATTTTAAATGCATTTTATGAAATCTGTAATTAAAACAGAAATGTATATTATTACATTGGGAGTGGGTTAATTAGAAAAGATGCATGATGTATTTTTTTTTTATTAATTGTTTGTTTCCTTGTTCCAGTTAAAACAACTATTCTGAACTACCAGAGTCCTACTACAGGTCTGTTCCCAGTGAAGACATGCTCCACCTGCAAAGAGGCCAAGGTGCGGGACTCTCTGTACTGTGCTGCTGGGGCATGGGCTCTGGCATTGGCCTACAGGTTAGTATGCTTGCATGTTGTGTGCATAAAATGAATGATGCACTGATCCAGCTTTCTAGTTCCAATACCGATTCTAACACTATGGCTTTAAATATCTGCTGATCTCCAATATCAGCTGATACCAATGGAGACTAAATGTAGACTTGATTTTCCTAAAAAAAAAACTAAAAATATTGTATGACAAACATGCTGATGCTGTTATTTAGCTCTCAAGTAACTATAGAACAACTTTGTGCAAATAAAAGTCAAACATTATGAGACTTTCTTGACTGACTATGACCAGTAAATAGTCTTACTTCATTAATTTATGCTCAGACTGCTGCCTCCGTGACCCGGCCCCGGATAAAGTGGAATAAAATAAAATGGATGGATGGACATTCATTTATAGGCCCAACCAGGATATTGGCTGAAATTATATTTTGGAGCTGATACCCTCTCCAGCAAATTTTTGTGGATTAGTGTTGATATTCGATACCAATATCAGTATCGGGTCATCCCTACATAAAATACTTGAGCTCCAGATAGAGATTTATCCTGACAGTTAACTCTGCTGCGATTCAGTGATGGGTCTTTTTTGTCTTTTGGTAAAATTCCATTTAAATGCAGGCACTATTTCTGATGTCTTGAAACATATGTTAGTTAATTTTAACAGTTTGCAGTAGTCCGTTATTCCTCGCTTAAGTTATGCATTGTGAGCATCCTAATTATTCAACAAAATGCTTTATTCTAGTAATTACAGTATACTGCATACTTATACTGCATACTTATTTTGACCTCAAGAGCTGCATATGCAATATATCTGTACTGAGACAAGACGACTTAAATACTCAAATTCAAACACATGGGATAAATTGGGTACAGTCCCCTGAATTCTAGTTAATCAGTTCAGATATTATATTTTTTCAGCTTCTAATGTATTTTGAGCTGCCAATCTCAATGTTCTTTTTTTCATGGAGCTCAGAATCAGAATTAGAAGCTGAAGTGTCATCTACCCTTCTCAGTGTCACCTATTCACTCCCGAAAACGCATTTGCTACTGGGCAATTAGCATAACAATTCCATCTACATCAATGTCAGTTGGTAGTGAGAAAAAGATGAATAGAGAATGACCATGTAGCTACTACCTTATCATTATCATCATTATTATCCAGGCTTATAGTTTTAGTCTTCTCATCTCCTTGGTTCTGTTGCACAGCTGTGATGGCACATCTTTTCGCTACCAAATATTGTGCAGACAGTACTGAGAAAACTGTTTTGGACTCTGCTAAGTAAAAGCCATAGAAAAGCCAGACACCAAACAGACTCAGTGGAGTGTTTAGACATCATAATGTACAAAACCGACCAAAATATCTCCTTGGCTGCACAGCTTTACACCGTGCCCTGTCTCATACTTTTCATTTATGTGCCTGTTCGTTCCATTATCACTCTGAACTTTAATTCTCCTCAGGATTTGACAGCTTTGCACATTGGGATTATTGGTTCAGGAAAATCCGACGGAATTTTACTCCTACTAAGTTATTTATTTATTTTTTTAAATTAAAGAACAGATAGAAGAGTAAAAGAAAAGACGGCACAGAGATGTAGGAGGAGAGAGATTGTAAAGACAGGGTAAAAATAGTGTGCGGCAGTGTCCAGCGGCACATCTCAGTCATCCGTCATGGCTGCCTTCTATTAGAATTGTCACAGGGATTTAATTAAGATGATTCTCATCTGACAGCCAGATAGCGCCATTACTTAACTTCCCACCCAGCTGGAGGGATGCGCCTACTTCTGTGTCACATGGATTTGTCTTAAAGTTGTGGACATGGGAACTTTGCTCAACACACTGTGTATTTATTGGATTTATTAGCTAAATATTATTTGGTATCTTACAAGGCGCAGTGCTTAGTGTTAGAAATATTCTGAGAAGAAACACCTTTACAACTTAAGTGTCAGCCTAGTCTAGTACCAGCTTTATGAAATCAAAGTTTGTTTATGATGAAGCAAAGTTAATGTTAGATAACCAACCAGATAAAAATCACTAATTTTTTTTTTACACACTGCTTATTTATCTCCATGTGGATGCTTCTGTTCAGCACTATGACTGATCTATCTTGCATTTTTTAACTGTGTTTTAATTGCTCAAAAACAACTTTCTTACTGAGAGTGGGGTTGCCTTTACACATGCAGCATCATCCGCTTGTCTCCATAGAGATAGATAGGCTTAATGCCATACGGAACAACATTCCAGGCACAACCCACCACCAGAAAACGCTACATAGTTCAATTCAGTGTTCACTTTTTAGATTTTTACCTTTCAAATTTCAGCTGACCTATAATGATTGTGATGTGATGATCGATTATCATCACAATTATCTTGACATTGATGGTTATTAGGGATACACATTGTGGCAATAAATACTCAGCAGATGGCATGGTACCATAATGGACAGACAATTCCAAAGGTTGCCTGTTTGAGAAGCAAATAAATGTGCCTTCCATGTGACATAGGGTGAATGACCAAATTATTTTTGTCAGCAAAAGTTATCCAACTATTATTGTTCATTATATGGTAGCTACTGACTCCAACAGACCAGGCAAAGTTTTCCCATTTTTACCCAATTTCACTGTGCATAGGTTGATTTATTCTTCTTTTCTAAAATAGTAGTGGCAACCATTCTTCTCAAATGTTATGCCTATTTTGTAATTTAAATTCTGTTTTGCTGCCACAGATTGATTAGAAATTTCCATTCAAGAGCAATGGAACAAGTCTTAACTAATAACCTAATCAGTAACTGTGAGCTCTTGCATTTATCCAAACTCACTTTATTTCTTTGATAAAAAAGTTAGAGTTTCAAAACAGTTTGGGGATGCTAGCAGTTTATTTCATCCCTTTTGTATTCTTCAGGGTCACATATCCGCTACAGAGTCTGATTAATGCAACGCGTTCAAGTGGAATTCAAACAAGTTTAACCTTAGCTCCATTGCCAATAGCCAAAGTCTTTATTAGCGTGGCCTTTGTTGGCTGTCTCAGATGTGCTAGCCTCCACAGGATTCGGCACACTCGCTAATTGATTGACTTTTGAGTGCCATCCGATTTGCATCACTCTCTTTGTAGGTGTTCTGTGACAGCCAATTAAAGCTAAGGTCGCTACAAGTGCATCAAGGTGTGTATAAAATGAAACGTTACTTTGCGTTTGATTTTAGAACCTCACCCCAAAACATTACATAACTTATCTATTTATTTGAATCTTCATAAATCACACAGGCTGCAGTAAACTGAAGAAATTCTTGAACAGATTGATTAGTCAGCTAAAAGGAGGGCAAAAGCTCTCAAAAGTAATGTGTATCTCTCTGTATGTGACCCAAACTGCACTCAAAAGATTACACCTGCATGGGAGGTCTCATGAAAAAAAGTAGAAATTTTATATAAAACAGATTAAACTTGTGAGTCATGAGTTTAATTTGCCTTATTACTTACAGTATTTGTATCAAACACTACCAAATCTTCAGCTACCTCACTCCCTAACTTCTCCTTTTTGCTGTTGCCCCATATAAATAATATAATAATAATCTAAATAAAATGATTAGTCAACAGATACTGTGTTTTATTTTGCTTTTTCTAACATGTCCTTGTTTTGGGATGCCCATTTTGCCCTTGATACAGCTATATATATATATATATATATATATATATATATATTTTTTTTTTCTGCTTGATTCAAATTGCTTCACTCTCCCTCCCACTCCTCTGAAATAAGTTTTTAATTATCTTTACATGCTCTGTATATACATTATTTTAAATTGAACATGAAAGGTCATACCTGAGGTCTCTAAGATACTTAAAGATGCTTTACCTAATTTTTCTACAGTATCGTTAACTTCCTTTTTCTTGGGTTTAAAAACACATTTCACAACTTTCAGAGGTCAGAGAGGAGTTTGGTTGTTACATACTAACATTATTTCCTGGCTTGCGATGCTTCAAGATGCATTGTAATTAGTTATAAACAGCACAAATCTGCTTTTACAATATATCTGTACTGAGGCGAAACACATTTTGCTTTACTGCAAGAAACAAGTACAGTGCAGTGCTTTTAAAAATGCACATTGTTAGTATCTTTGACTGGTTTAGTTTATTTTACCCCAAGAAAAGGAACTGTAATTTAAGTTTTTGGTTTTTTTTTGTTATAAAGGTACTCTTGTTTGTGAAAACTGTCCATCTTTCAAAACCTACCAGCTCAAAAATACGTAAAATAGCTCACTTTTGATTATATATTTATCTTGTTTTTTCTTTTTCTTGTATTTCAGACGTATCGATGATGACATGGGCAGGACTCACGAGCTGGAGCACTCTGCTATCAAATGCATGCGAGGGATCCTCTACTGCTACATGAGACAGGCCGATAAGGTGAGCCCACTCTTTGTTCTTTACACGGGATATTTACATAAAAACCCAGCACAATTACCACATTGTGTTAGTGATCAAAGGTGCTGCTATTAATCAGAGCCTCTCCAGTCTGAAGCACCGGACACATCTGTGATCATCATCATAACCAATCATAGGAGGAGCTGCTCCTTCTGACATAAGGGCTTAATAACTGGCAACCTGTTAATTGCTGCCTGCTCTGAAGAGGCACATTTCATGCTACTTGTGTCATTTGATCCATGTTCAGCGGGATGTAGTAAGATGGGTTCTAATTTCATCCCTACTCGAGTTATAACAACATTGGCCCATAGCCATAGCTCAGGTGTATTAGTGCGTTAGAGGGCTGGTTCAGTTCAGGGTTAGTTGTTACTATAAGTGCTGTTGGCCTAATTCAAGATCTTGGGTCCTTAAAGGTCCTATATCACAGCAAACTGTGAGTTTTAAGCAATGTTAGGGCATGTCACCTGGTTTCTAGCATTTATTTAATTGCAGGTATTTTTAATTGCTCAAAAATACCTGGAAAATCTTGACATCCTAATTTTGAGCAGAGTCGCCTCTCCACAAATATTACATGGTGAAAAGGGCCAAATGCTTTTCCCCATGTAGGTAAGCATAATTACATATTGTGAAACATTCTATAGGTGATGAAAAAACATCTCTGTTGAAACCAAAAGACAGCGGAACCTCCTCCACAAAAGTTACACAGGCTACATTCAGACTGCAACCTGAAGTGACCCAAATCAGATTTTTTCGCCCATATGCGATGTGTATCTGATCTTTTAATGAAGTCTGAATGGCACAGATCTGATTTTTCAAATGCGACCCAGGCCACTTGGATATGTGGTCCCAAAACCGATACATATTCGATCTTTTGAATGTGACTTCAGTCTGAGCAGCCAGGTCGCATTCATCCAACCTGGCCAGATATTGTGCAGTAACAAGCACCTGTTGTGAGCCAATACAGCCCAACGCCGATGTGCTTGCTCACTGAAATAGGCCGCTGAAGACGTGTTTCCTTTCGCAAGAGTGGTGCAAGTAGGCGCTCACAAGTGTACACAAACATTCTTCTCATCTTGTGAAAATTGTGTATGAACTGAAAGTAGCGAAGGACATATCAATCCCACCACTGTTGGCTGTGATTCCGTACCCACACGGTCCTTTCTATGGACGTTGCTGCCACTGCCCCACAAAACACCATGGCCAAAAACCTTGTCCTTCTAAATCTCCTCCTTAAAACAAATACATATACATGTTGTGGCTCCGGTACAACAGCAACTTTAAAATCGCAAGGTGCTCAGTGCTAGCGTCCATGTTTAGGCTACTTCCGTAAACACTGAGAGCGCTCGTTGCGTGTGACGCTATCATGTCCTTCAATGCGCATGCGGGACACTTTTGGGGAGTTTAAAGTTCACTCTGGAGATCACATACAAGTCACGTTTAACTGAAAATGTGAACAACCTCGCAAAAAAATCTTATTTTACAAAAAAAAAAAATCCATATTGAGCATTAAGCCCTGCAGTCTGACCGTAGCCATAGTGTATCTATAACTGCTTCTCCTATGTTATCTTACCAACATTGGCCAGTTGGTTCAAATGGAGAGAACAAAAGAGGTGGTTTTCAGCTTCTAAAACTGTAATGTTGTCATACTCCCAGATGGAGGGTAAGAGGCAATTTTTTCTAGTGATCCAAAAACTAAAATATTGAGCCTGATCATTTCTATTATTGACTAGACCGAAGAACTCACTGTACAAATCACATTAATGTGATTTGTGATAAATAACATTGGCCTATAGAATGTTGTAATGTCATCTGAAACCCAGCAGTATTAGCTATATTTTGCTGTAAGCTCAGCATCACCTGCAGGTAGTGTATGAGGATCAGTAGATGCAGCAGAAATGTGCAATCAATAGTTTCCACAGTAACGGCACTGTTCCAGGTGCAGCGATGAGTATCAGTGTGAACGCTGATGTACACTGGAGCTTATGGAGATAACAGCTAGCAGGGTCATGAAGTGCAGCCATGCAAATACTGTGCGCCTACATTTTTATACTGTAGCTAACAAGATCATTTATATTGCATGGGCAGATTTGTTACAGCTGATCTTTTGTACAAATACCTTTTCAGTGTATTTTCTTTAACCAACTTTTTTACTATAGGGCTGGATATTGCCAATACTTGTCACTATATACTATGTCCCGATACTCGCACTTTTATAATACATCCTGGTACATGGATGTCCCTTAAAACTGATGCTAAAATTTTAATGTTTTGATTATGTTGAATAATAAAAGGCATAGAACTCTCATGTTCACAAGTATCAGAATAAAACCGTCCTATGAATACGTCACCTATTCACCCTTAATTCAGAGAGTGAGCAGAGTATAGTGAATGTGAATTTATGTTGTTAAAAGTATCTTGATATTTATCTCTGTATTACACATATTTCCAAGAAGTGGTTCACAATATATTGCAATATCAACAATTAGAGTATAGCCCTTCTTCTTACTGTCATTGTTGATATACTAGCAGTGGGACAAGATACAATTTCCACAAGATGAGATGAGTCATGAAACACAAAAATGAAACAAAACAGGATTCTGACAAGATTTAGAATAAATAAAATGTTCAGTTCACAGTTTTGGCCTCACTAATGTTTATCTACTTTATTTCATATTTTTGTCATTGTGGCACTACAGCTTTTTAACTACAACTTCTCAAGTGGTGTAACTTGCCACCACTTAATCCTTTTTTTTTGTCCAATCCACTCTGTACTCTATATCTATTCCGATACCTCGATGATCATAAAAGCACTCTTTCTTTAAACAATAGAATGTGATTGATTTCAACATAAAATAATAGTATTTTCTTTTATATTATGATGTGGGCTTATGTCTGTGTAATCCTTCAGTCGTCCACATATGTGCCACAGTGGTCCATGAGCTTTAGTCTATGGTGTTATACTTGTTCAGATACAGTGCAAGATCATTTAAAGCTATTTAGTTTTTAGTATCGATACCTGCTCAAATGAGTAGATAGTTTTCATACTAGTTTTATTATTGGTTAGTATCATATTGACACTTTTGACAGTCCTAGTGTGCACGATCCTTTGACAGTAATGTCTTGCAAGATCTTGTGGCACCAAATCTCATCCCATCATGTACAGTTCCTAGTTTTTGATAGAAATGAAGTACCTTTTGCACTTTGACATTTGACTACAGCGTACGAAGATTAAAACACCCAGTAGTCAACCTTCTCGCTGTTATTTTCTCCCACACCAGCGCCATCTTGTAATGAAGTGGCCTGCTGTGCGCCTGTGTGTGCTGGACAGATTGAGCCTTCCAGCACCATTATGTTTCATCTTGGCTCGACCTTGACGACCTAATTTCGGGGAAAGCGTTCCTATGTCTTAATTGCAAAGTACGTTTACACAGTTAATTACATCGGGCGCTTGTTCTCTGGGTCCCGTCCTCTACACTTACAGGGAACAAGGCATTTTTAATGGAGACATGACATGGGCCAACTGCGGGGCAAGCCTCAGTGAACAAGAGACACAGCAGGGTCATTTTGCATTACAATGATTCAAATGGGATTAAAAGTTGTGACCCCCAAAACATTTTCTGATTAAAAGAATAAATGGGCTGAAACAACTATTCATTTGTCAATGTCTTGTCAATAGTCTTGGCTTCAGTAAGTACAGTTGGTAATTCCAGTCTCTTTTATAGGGTGACCAGATTTTAAAATAAAAAACTGGGACATCTCTGGTTTGGGTTCCTTGGTAATAATAAAATTGTGAAACAAGTGCGTAACTAAAGAAAACTGTTATGCACTCAGCACTAATGTGAGTCAGTACAGTCACATTTTCTTTATGTTTTGGTCATTTTTAAGCAGCTTTTCTGTAGTTTACCTAAACAAATGACAAATTATGCCTCTCTTTACTGTTTAAATTGGTCAAAAATAGGGACATCTGGGACATTTCTTGTATACAACTAGAACAAATCACTGGTTTTGGATAAATCTGCTGGGACAGGGGACACAGGGCTCAAAACTGGGACTGTCCCACGTAAATAGGGTCGTCTGGTCACCCTATCTTTTATTATGTAAGATCTTTGACAATTTATAATGCAAAAAAATGCATACGTTAATAACACTTTTCTATGGCAGTTTTCTATTTTCAGATTCCAAAATGTGAAGATGGGGGCAAGAGTCAGATTTTCCTATTGATTAAATTGTACATTGCCCTGAAATATCTAAATGCACAAGTGATGAACCTGACCATTTCTATTAGTGACTAGATCAAATAACTCATTGTAGTACAGCAAAAATCAGCATTTTAACTATATTAATTTTAGTTACCCCCGTCTGTCTTAAATAATATTGACCTACAGAAAATTGTGATGTCATCTGAAATCCACCAATAGACCTCTCACTTTTATTAAAATTGTGAAACATAAAATAAATAACCTATTAAAAGATGACCTGATTATTTTTATTTGTAGAATACTTATTTTGTGTGTTTTTTTTTTTTTGGTTTTTTTAATGCCTCTAAATTAGTGTAGTGTTAGCACTGAGACACTAACATCTCTCTTTCTACAGAACAGAGAAGTGTCTTCTGCTAAAGTTTTCATTTTATTTGTGTACTTTTTCACATGTTGTCAGTGACATCCACCCGCAGCTCCCTGTTCACTGCCTTATCTTTAAATATTTATTCATTTTAGCACGACTCAGCAAAAACCACATAGAGATAAAATTGGACAGGAAGTAGTGAGGCTAACTGTGAGGGTGTCAAACTCTATTGTGCGCAGTCTGTTGTACACTATTATAACTTTTATAAACTACAACGGAAAACATATAGCTATTGTTCATGCTTTGCTCCACTCACAATTCTTCACTATAAATAATGTAAATGAGAAAGAAACAATAACAATGAATGTAATACAATTTTAGCCTGCTCACTCTTTCAATTTTATGGTTACCAGACTATGTACTTATTGTCCCCACCGCACTGCCAGATCAAGAGTGTACTGAGGTAGCACTGGCTCATTACTAAAAACTGCAATTAATTATGTTCATTATAAAATTATCGACTAAAAATTGACTAAAATTGTTTGTATCCAGCATTTTGTGTCCAGCTGTTTAAAGAGCATTTCTCCATGTGAGCATATTTTCATCCAGCCATTATTGTTGTAGAGGATTTCTCTGACCCTTACAGCCTTGTATTGACCACAACAATGAGAGTATCTATAATGATTAGAAGCATTGACCATGTTGAACTGCCAATAGCTCGAATACACTATACCCTTCAAACAGTAGTGCATTACAGGACTTAACAAATGTGCTTCTAGAGCTGGATTTTGTTGTTGTTGTGTTGTTTGCAATGTATGTTTTAATGGTGCCCTATATAACTTTTTTGCTTATTACAAGGGCTGGGAATCACTAAAAAGTTGATATGATACATACCTTGATACAGTGCACTTTCAATTTGATTTAAAATATTTCTAAATGATTTGATACAGTTCAATAAAAAATGAAGGCTAAATCATGGCTGTGATACTGAAAGTCTTTGTTAAACCTCATCTTTTGCAAAGTTCATATGGAAAAAGACGATTTTACTCCTCAAAACAGTGAAAATGTCAAAAGTGTTGCATAAATGAGTTTCCTTCCTCTACAAAACTGTAGCGATGCATCAAAATAATTTTGTAAAATACACCAAAAAATACTCTTGGCAATATATCGATACAGCAGCCCATAATATCCATACTGTAGCATCACATTAAATGATATGATATACTGATATTTTAAAATGTTTGCGCACCCCTACTTATTACCCTTGCTTGTTTCCAAGGAGACGTTATTTCGCCGCACGGAATGTTTCACAGTATAACATTAAACATATCTACCGCCATGGAAGTAAACAGGTGAAGCCATTATGCCAAGTTACAAGTCAGGTCTGTGAAGTAGCAGAATACATGTGGTTCAAGGCATCTTTCTTAGCAAATAAATACACATTAAATAAATGCAAGGTTACAGTTAATGCCATAGTGAGGAGCATTCCAGGCAAAGCAACAACATCTCATGGTGGCAGACCCCTTCTAGAAAGTTACATAGTGCATTTTTAATAACAGCATTCTATTCAACATTCACATTTAGTTGACCGCAAGAACTGACAATAGACTGAAATATGAACTGACAAACTAATTTAAGAATCACATTTTAGATCTAAACTACAGGGTTTTGATACTTAAATAAATTGCCTTTGTGATTTGCTAACTGGGTTCTTTCAAATTGTAACTTCAATAAATCTGACTGCCTTATGTGCTCTTTTTTTGCTTATTTTTCTTGTCTGCTGGAGGTAGTTCACAGAAAAATGAACACAGTTTGGAGATACACAAACTGGCTAGAGTAGAGAAAATGGTGGCACCCCCTCATACAATAACATGAGTCGCAATGGGGCAGTAGAAAGTAGAGCAGTGCTTGCAAAAATGGGACAAAAGGTCTTGGCTATGACCTGACTGGAAGAGAAAGAGAAATTGGAGGGGAGCATGGCACACAGAGGTTATGTGCCAGAGGAAAGCTACAGGAACAAAGTTATACTATTTTTTTTCCATATTCTAATTGGTACAAGTTTAATATAAGGAATATACACTCTTATATAGGACTGCAAGATGAATTCTGCATGAAAACTGCTAACCCTGTAGTTTAGAACTCTGGTCAGGTCATCTGTTTAAAATGTGAACTTTGAACAGAATACGAATAAAATGTATATCTCAAATCTAATGCTTGTCAGAAATTTGCAATTTGATTATTTTCCGAAATTGTTCAGCCCTACTCCTCTTAGACGGGCTTTTATATTGTCAGTGAATTCCCGAAAAGCAAACAAGTTAAAAATGTGACAAAAAGGCAATTATTTATAACCAAGCGTGTTAAAATTCAGTGTGCACCCAATGAGAATAACACAGCATCCACACATACACGAAAACCTCTGCTGGCCAGTGAACGTGATGGCTATAACAGTAAACCTGAGTCATACATTTTCTTTGACCCTTACGCACTTGGAGGCTGAATGTTTTTTACTGGGCAATATAATACTTGTCACAAAGAAAAACAAAGCCTCGATTCGAAAAGAAAATGGCATTGTGAGTGCAGTAAAAGTGTGGCTAGGAATCATAGAAGGTGGTGTGAATTTCTTAGAGGTGAAACGCTTTTATAAGTCAGTGAAGTAAAAATGAAAAAGTAAAAATCAGACCAGATTAAAGTGAAAAATGATACCCAGTCAGAATAAACGTATTTCGTGTTTTCTTCACTAAAACACTTTCTGATGCGTCTCACATTGGTCATCATTTCAAACCTGTATTATTTTATATAGTTAATGCACAATAAGCTAATGTATTTACACATCACACTATCTTGCAAAGTAGCCTGTTTTTGTGTACACCTAATTGGAATTTAGAACCTTATTTTAGACTAGAGTGGTCAATTTGGTGGTTTAATATCTGGGTGGTAGCTAACATAAAATAATGTTTACCCATAATCTATTTGGATAATGATAAGCAGTTATGTATTTACACTAACAACAAAAACATAATGAAAAAAAAACACTCTAAAATACTATTTTCATAATGCAGTTGCTACAAATTCATATCAGTGTTATAAATAGATGTCATCTTGCTTGATTTGAAACCTTACCCGATTGGGTACCGCATGCCCAGATACGTTGACGCAAGTGCTGAAGTTGCTATAGTAACCATACTTGGGACAAAGCTCATGTTTGAGATTTGACCAATTAAATTTACTTTTGGAATAAAAACTGTTTGACTCTTAAATACTTGCTTAAAGTCTGTGAAAATGATGTAATGTATTTAAACGTTAAAATGGAGCAGAGTGGAGTAAAGTCTGACTTCATAAGTAAAATGACTAACTTTGATGATTTGATTATGGTCAAATCAACAATTTGTTTAGAATAAACTCTGTGAAATAGTCAAATTTTGGCTACAGCAGACAGAAAACATACTTTTCTGTTTTTTATGTTTAAAGTTCCTATATGGAGCAATTAAGCCATGTTGTTACCTCCTTAAATACATATTCTTTGTTGTGTTTTGTTTCATTTGTGCTCTGTTCTACCTTGTGATGTCATGAAGTGGCAATTTTCATGTTAACAGCTACCTGAGATTGGCAATTCCAGGGCTGAAATTATCCAAAGGATTCCAGTGAAGGTGTATGGAGTTTAAAAACACAATGGAGCACTTCCTGTATTACAACATGACATCATAAGGTGGTTTTCTTTTTGCGAAAAGAACATAGCCAAAATATGCAAGGTTTATGTGTGAATGAACATGTGTGAATGAAACAAAACAACTCTAGGTTTATTTGTTTAGTTTTTTTTTATGAAAAAACAACATTACAACATAGATCAAAACAGTATAATATGAACCATTTTATAGAGGTAAGAGTTAATTAAATTAAAAAGGTGCGAAATTGGGCTGGGCGACTGCAGTAGACTTCTCATTTTTGCAGTAAATGCTGTTTCATAAATTCCATTGTGCATAAATACCATTTAAATTCAAATGCCAGCAGGTCATCATCGACAACTCTGCGCAGTTCCTCATTTGCATGACTAGTGTGCTTTCCTCTGACCTGCTTCTCCCTTTGACCTTTCCCTCCTTCCTCTGTGCCTGTGTATATTTGCAGGTGGAGCAGTTTAAACAGGACCCCAGCCCCTCCAAATGTCTGCACTCAGTCTTCAATGTGGACACCGGAGATGAGGTCTACACATATGACAAATACCACCACCTACAGGTCGGTCATACTCAAGGCTCACTGGCTAACTTTTCTGATGGAGCGTCTGCAGATTTAATTGCTTTGCCTGGAATGTTCCACAGTATAGCATCTACATAATAGCTTTTGCATTTAATTCTTTTTTGGTTAAGGTTTATACTGCTCAAAAAAACCTTGAAAAACATGCATTCTTACTGTTGTTGAGCTTGCCTTTCCATACACTGGACTTGTAACTTGGCTTGATTATGGCACCTTCTCAACCAGTTTGCTCAAGGTTAATATACTGTGGAATATTCTAGTCTAAGTAATGCTGTTTCCATGGGAACAAACAGGCGACTTACTGTTCCTCAGAAAAGTTAAAAAGCGCATCTTTAAAAGTAGATATAAAATTCAGACACAGTAGAAATTGTTTGGAATGAGCAGTTGAAGTTGTGGCTAGAGTGGTAGACTAATGAACAACAAGATAAAGAAATTAGTTTTTCAACTTGGACTTGACAGCTTTGATTTTTAAGTGCCATCCTTTAAATTGCCTTATTTTTTTCCTCCTCATTTTGACATGTGGATATGCTGGAAAATTAACTTGTCAGAGCCAGAAGTGCAATGAAGAACCTCTGAGAAGGTGTATAATTTGTGACACATGTGACATCTAATATATTTTAAATAGCAGAAAGGAGTTGGCCACAAAGTTACTGATACCTACTGCAGTAAGAGTAATGTACACGCCTTAGTTTACTTTAAAGGTCCCCTATTATGCTATTTTCTGATCTATGATATAATGTTGTTTCGTCCTCAAAAATAATAACATTATAATATGGTTTAAATGTCACAAGAGTCAATTTTGTGTAATATAGGAATCCGTGTATCATTTGTTCATTCATTTTTCAAAATAAAACCAAAAATAAGAAAACGAAAAAAACAACTATTTTCTTCATTGTCTGTCTCCAAGACCAAAATGAAAAAAACGGATAGCGATTTGTTTTTTCTGTTTTTGATTTTGTGTTTAAATTAATAATGGTTCCTGTGACTTAAACTGAGATGCTGGACTTTTGCGCCGAATACGGACTGAACCAGGACTAAATCAGGACTAAAACAGGACTGAGTGTCGGTTGATCGGGACTAAAACCAGGACCAAACCAGGACCAGACCAGGACCAGACCAGGACTGGGACGGGAGCTGAGACCAGGGCTGAGTTGTGGTTCAGTCTGTGGTGCATAAAGTCAGGTATCACAGTTTAAGTCACAGAAATGGTGAACAGCCGTTACCTGTTTTTTCCATTATTCATTTGAACACAAAATCGAAAACTGAAAAAATTAATCGTCGTCCGTTTTTTTATTTTGGTTTTGGAGACAAATAATGAAGAAAATAGTTGTTTTTTCGTTTTCTTATTTTTGGTTTTATTTAGAAAAACAAATGAATGAATGATACACGGATTTAGAGGGCCTTTAATTTGTAATGAAAAATAGTTTATTTAGTAAAGGTTCATGAAGTAGTTGCTTAGCTTGAATTATTTTTTTTTCTTTTATGTATGTTTTTTTTTTATGCTTAATCAGCCTTGAACTTTTAATCATGCTCTAATTAGAGATGGCACACACATTTCATTCTCATATTCAACTTTCAGTCTCAATCTTTTTTCCATCACATGAATTTTATTACATCATATTGTATGTATTGTTCCCATTTCAAAGGGTCATCAGCATCACTTTATGCTTGAATCACTCTTAATAAACAACTGATTCATTATGATTATGATTTAGGTATTTTTTTCATGTTTTAGTGAGGTTATTAAAAGTGTAATTATTATTAAAAAAATAATAAATATAATAATCTTACTTGTAAACATGTGTGTAACCATTCTTTTCCTGATCTTCTGTCTGTGGTCCAGATTGATGCAGTGTCCCTGTTCCTTCTCTACCTGGTGGAGATGATATGCTCGGGTCTGCAGATCATTTACAACACTGATGAGGTAAACAACACCCCCAGAATGTCGGCCAGTGGAATCGATGGCGCGCACAGGGATTAGCGCCTGGCCTGACTTATTGGTTTGATATTTTCAGCTCGATTGGTAAACATCATTTCAGAGTTCAACGTGAGGTTTTGAAGTTTAAAGTTGCACTGTGTAACTTTTTGGTTGTGGATCTGTCTCCTGCTTGCTTTCATGTAGATGTTCTGTCACTAAATAGAGAATAAATCCACTGAGAAATTACAATAAACCAATAGGAGACAATGTAACTATAAGACAGAGTAATAAAATGGTAATAGAGGAGTAATATAGGCTGTTGACCGGAAGAATACAAAAACAATATCTAACCAAGTTAAAATGACTTAAATTAAGAACATTTTACTTAATTTGAGTAGTTTCAACTTGGCAATGATCTACCAAGTATTTTTTTTTTCTGAATTAGATTTTGTTTCTTATTTTATGTGCAAAGAGTTCTTGTTTTCTCGACGGATTTTTTTTTCGGACGATATGATACTGATAAAGTGGGAGTTGAAGTTGCCGATAGCCAATATAAAAGCCGATATATTTAGTGATGTAAAAATTCTCTAGAAATCTTCAAGTGAACTTAGGTCCAGCTCTACTGGATTTTATATTGGGTTTATTTAAGCTGCATTTATTGTTATTCTGCCTCTTTAGAGTCTTATTTAAAGACAATAGGCCTGATGACATTTTTGCATAACATTCTAGCCAGAAAGTAAGTAAACTACTGCTATTAGCCTTCAGCGGTAAATGCGTGTGCGCGTCACTTACGATAGGCCAATATCAGAGAAAACAAGCTGTTTATGTGTGGTTGCTACAGCAACTAATCGCTAACCAATGAAAAACAACCAAAAGCTTCAAAAACTTGGCAAAAATATCGGCCAACCAATATATCGGTCGGGCCCTACTGTCAAGTGAAATTTAATCAAATCATGATCAAACTTTCTTAATTCAGTAATCATAACTTGACTAGATTAGTTTATGCAGTGTAGGATTTGGCTCTAGGAGGGAGTGGCAGAAGGCTGAGTTTGTTTTGATTTGGTACCATATATTACAGAATAGTAAATTGACATACAAACTTACAACTACAGCTTTGTCCAGAGTGTTCCACAATCGAGATTAAACCTATCTATCACAAGGGAGACCAATCTAGGCTACATTCCAGGTCAGAGTTGTGGAGTGGCAGCCATATTCACAGAAAGAATTACTGTAGTTTTGAGCAATAGACACATATGTAATGAACAAATGCTGATAGATGTGTTCTATATCATACCACGGAAAGTAATAACATCTCCATGGAGACATGCAGGTGGTTCTCCACCAGAAAAGTTGAGCAATGCAGCTTTAATCGTAACTTGGAAAGACAATTTGCTGCTATGCAGATTGGAGAAGTACTATGTAATCATTCTTCCTTGTGTAATAACTTGTTAAGAGCCCACATGATTCAACTATAGTGGTTTTTAAATGGTACAGGTGCAATGCAGGGTATCTTATTGCATATAAAAATAGCAGTCATTTTGGGGTATTATATTTTTTATCTCTTTCAGTTCATCCTATTTAATATTTAATTTAGATTATTCAGATTTTGGGATTTGATTGTACTGAAAATAGTAAACACAGTAAATTATGCTCAGTAAAACAGTAGTCTAGTTGGCTACATAGGAAGTTACTTTAAACACAAGAAGTGCTCCACTGTGTTTTTAAACTCCATACACCACTAAAATCATTTGCATAATTTCATTCTTGGAATTTCCAATCTCTACTGCCTCCGCTGCTACTGCTTCATAACATCACAAGGTGGAACAGAGCATTTTGAGCTTTGGATATGTAGACAGACTAATAATAAGGCTTGCTCAAACATGTGTGAATGAAAAAAACATAACTCTGGTTATGTTTTTCATGAGGTAACAACATTATAACATATCTTAAAGCTCACAAGAGTCAATGTTGCATAATTAATAATAATAATAATAATAATAATAATAATAATAATAATAATAATAATAATAATAATAATTAGGCTGTAGAACACCCTAATTTTTCCACTTACTTATTGCAATTCAAGTCAAGCAAGTCCAATGAGAAGCTTGAAATGGTACAAAGGTAAGTACTGAACAGCCAGAGTTTAAAAAAAAGTAAGAGATAACAAAACACAAGTCCAAGCTCTGCCAAAACTACCTCAGGAAAAAAGAACAAGATGGTGAGCTTGAAAACATGGAGTGGCCAACGCATGCTGTAGAATTAAACCCCATCAAGCTGGTTTGGGATGAACTGGACAGAAGAGTGAAGCAACCTACAAGTGCTACACATTTATGGGAACTTCTGCAACAGACTTGTGAAGAATATTTGATTTCTATTGTAAAAAGAACGAGCCACAAGTGTGTTCAGCTGTTATATCTGCCAAAGGTGGCTACTTTCATGAATCAAAAGTTTAGAGTATGTTTTCGTCAACAGTAAACAGTAAAAAACTGGAAAAAGTGTGGTGTTCTAAAACTTTTGACCGGTAGTGTATAATGAAATAGACATGATTTATTCAACCCTCTACAGCTCGATTTCCAATCGTAGCACAGAAAAATAACAGAAAATTCTTGTCTAGTAAAAATAAAAAGTCACCATGATAAATTTTGACCCCCCGAAAATAATTCTCCCATCTTTCATTTATTGAATGTTGACTCGATATAGTAATTATTTTGACAGGTTTAGTAGTTGTAAATTCCCATCCTCCCTTTATGTTCACAGCTCGTCTTTGGCTTGCACTCTATCCTTGCAGCTGGTTTTAAGAGAAGCACAGATGCAGTTAAGCATATTTGGGCTGTCAGACACAAGGGCAGAGAGACAAGCCGACAAATGCGCCCGATCATATTACCTCCTTGGCAGAGGTAATGATGTGACACTACTCGCTCAAAATCCAAGTGTCAGACTGGAGTGCTTTGAAAAGCCATTAAAACATCACCCAAATCCCCTTCAGTCATCCCAGAACAGCCCGAACCAAATCCCTGCGCACCTTTACAGCTCAACCTCTATTTATTTTGGCTCATAAAAAGTTTAAATTTCCTCGTAGGAGTCAAACTAATATCATTTTTACAATATTTGACAAGCCGGGTTTTAAGGTTGAGCATTAGAATTCATTTGTCTCTTTATGTACGCGCTATTATGAAACAAGGCTGTGTGGCTGTTTCGCTTGTTTTTACTGCGCAGCCCTGAGGAGCAGTTCAACTTCATTAATTCTGTTGGTTTTTATAGTCAACTCATTCACAGCAGCTCTTAGGGCCACAGAAAAACTAGTGCCGTCAGTAAACCCGGACCATTTGTTTATTTACTAGATGGGGCTTATCTAAAGAACGGGGGCGCACGGTAAGGCATTACACCAGCTACCAATTAGTCAGTGCAGGCTTGACTTTGTTTACCGCAAAAAGCCTTCCTAATAACTAGTCATTTTTCTCAATTTCTCAACCCCCGATGACAGAACAAATTGACAGTGTAACTTTTCATGAGGGCAGGGCTGTTTGTGCTCCAGGCTCAATTTGCATATTAAAACCCTGATTATTACATTGCATAATTAAAAGTGAAGTGGTTTCTTTGCATTCCTCCCACTCCCATCGCCTACTGTACACGCGGCGACTTGTGATTGGAAATGACTGTTGAAATGCCAAACTAATCGCATTATTACGGCCTGCTTTATTAGCGCGTTGTTAGCTGTCACTGCTTGTGAAGTCGGACGGCGTGCGCGGGGCCGAGCTGGAAGCTGCATTGCAGTATTTTCTGGAGGTGCAATAGGAAGGCTGTTTGTCCTCTGAGAAGATGCACTATCGACCTCCTTCCAGATGCCATTTGCAGTTCTGTGCAGCATGAAATGAAGAGTCTCATTAGGCAGCGTGTGTCTCTGCATGTGTTTTCTCACTGGGTACATTTGCATGGCCAGTAAAAATCAGATAACCAGACTAATCGGATAACTCAATAATTAGATCTGATTTGGCTGTATGTTTACATGCACAAGATAAATCTGATAATCAAAAGCACATGTGCCAGTTAATCAATGTTTTAGAGTAACTGTTGTTCTGTGTCAGTACAATGCATTTTAAACATTTTCTCTTTCCTTTTTATCTTTATCACATTAGTTTACCCTTTTCTTTTTTTCTTTTTTTTTTTTTTTTGCATAATTTTCCTTTTCAAAATGTGTACTTGTTTAAATCAGATTGATCAGATTAATCACGTCAAATGTAACTGTAACCTGACATTTCAATAATCTGATAACTCCAGAAATCAGATAATGGTCAGATTGTTGGTGTGCATGTGTACTTGGCCAGTGTTACTCAGGTGTGCATGGTTTGCACTTTGGACCACTTCAGCATCTTACACTCTGACATGAAGAACAATGGTGACGTTATTCTATTCAAAAAGTGAGAATATCAAATCTGTATTTTATTTAATTAATTTAGATTAGAATTCATCTGCATTTTCTCTCGTCTCTTGTTCCCAAATTTGGAAAAGGTTTTGCTAGTAAGGGTGTGTGGCATAAAAAAAAATTTAAGTCATAGTAAAAAGCAAATTACTGCAAACCAAGAAGGCTGGAAATCCTGACACAACCATGACAGCCTGACAAACTATGCAATACTGCATACAGTATTGATTTATAGTTGATGAAGTCATATCTTTTATTAACTGTAATCTCTCATAATCCTAATTAAAAGGGATCTATACTTTATATTTTAATTATTATTAGTTATTTGGCACTGTATTATGCGTGCCATTATTCTTCAGCTAATAAACCCACACCTCGGCTGGGAGAGTCTCCTAGTAGTGTAGCGAAAGATGGATCCGTTTAGCCAGTGGGAAGTCACATTCATTAAGATACCATTAAGATACTAAAAAGTTCCCCTCATTAATCACTGTTCTCATAAAGTCCCAAAATGGAGCTGAGGCAAACACCTTGCTCTCCCTCTCTCCCTGTCCTCCTTCACACTGGCCTGGCCTATTTACCTCCCTACTAGTCTCTCTCTCCCTCTCTCTTTCTTCTATTTCTCCCTCTCTCTATTTCTCCTTCTCTCTCTCTCTCTCTCTCTCTCTCTCTCTCTCTCTCTCTCTCTCTCTCTCTCTCTCTCTCTCTCTCTCTCTCTCTCTCTCTCTCTCTCTCTCTCTCTCTCTCTCTCTCTCTCTCTCTCTCTCTCTCTCTCTCTCTCTCTCTCTCTCCATCTCCATCTCCATCTCCATCTCCATCGCGGACCTTTCCTTTTTCCTCCCTCATCTCTCATTTCATCGCTCCCTCCTGCTTTGTCATTTTGGATTAAATTACCCATCAGTCAGACACACACACACCCACGCATCCACACCACACACACACACACACACACAGTGCAGCTACTTCCAGGCCTTTTTTAATCATTCAAGGCCTTTAAGTCATCATACATTCACAGTCTCTCCCCTTCAGCTTGTTTCCCGGCGTCCCTATTGATTTGGACATGTCTCCAAGGTCCTGTTCAGACGAGGCATTTCAATCGGTCCTCGAGCTGCTGCGGTTGGTTAGATTTTTGGCCTCGGCAAATTATGATGTTTTCATTATAGCAGCTGCAAAAATACAATATTAAACCTATTTTACAATATTTGACTGAAATGTTGTATTTATTATGGAGTTTGCAAGTCATGAGCTGGACAGTAATTCTTGTAAATGTTTGCTGTTATGAGCAGTACTTTGGAAACTATCTTGTTTATAAAATGTGCTACACAAATAAGCTTGGATTGATTGGATAGGAGCAGTTGTTTGTGAATTACAATACATTAAAGGGTAAGTATTTAGTGAGATTAAACTGGCCCTCCAACCACTACCAATCATTAACACTAAGAATACATAGTCAATGTGTGCATCTTGCCCAAGGGTACAACATCAGTATGCACCATGTTTGAACCACCATAGGTTGTGTTGGAGGATGAGGTAACCATTAAGTGACTGTCACCCATTGTTATTATTAATTGTTTTCTCATTTAACGTTCTATATTTCGTTGCACTACTTTAGAAAGTTTCTGGATAGAAACTTGCTTGCCCATAGCATTTTTTGACGTTTTCCAAAATCTAGTCCCGGCACAATCAAAGGTTTGATCTCTGTAGGATACTCACACTGCGCATCAAAGACAAAGTTGTACATTTTTTACCATTCGAGCTACAAAACAAACATCCCTGGAGTCAGGATAGCAAGCCTGTTTTCTTCTATAGTATGAAGAAATTGAACAACTACAACTACTACCACTACCAATTGTCACATATTATAAACCCGAAGCAATGACATAATTATCATTTAAAAGTTGCTGTACAGCGGCAGTAGCTCTAGTGAGTTGATGTTGAGTCCTTGTCCTCTGATCCAAAGGTAGGCGGTTCGAAACCCATAAACATCTTAGCACAGTCAGGTCCACTGACCCACAGGTTGGTTGTAGGATTCCAACTCCCACAGATGAATACTGCAGTTGTGCCCTTGGGCAAGACACATAATCTGTCTCACCCCCAGTGCATACACTGTTGTAACAATGTGTGTGTAAATGTGTGAGTGGTTAGATGTAAAGCAATCTGAGTGTCTTGAAGGTTGAAAAGCACTATATTAATGTGACAAATTGCCATTTATTTTTTTAGTGGCGTAATGTTGTGTACCGTTGTGCTGCTTTGCTACACATAATCACTTCACCACACCCAGGGAAAATTAAATAAAATAAATTATGACTTTTATCTTAGAAGTGAAATAAAAAAAAGCTCTCCTAAGCATTTTACAATCTGTACTATAAAACATGGGGTCAATCCAATTCAAAACTGTGAAAATGCAAGTTAAAGGTGCTGTACCGTATTTTTTATTTTATCTTTAAAAAGGTCTTTTTGATGGATGCGAAGTCAAGAGTGCCACTGATGTTCTTTGAAAAGGCGATGGTGAGCCTCAATCCAAACAGACTTCTTCAAACAGGTCATTAATTAAAGTGGTGTTTTCGAGGTAGTTTTGCCCTTCAGCTGATGAGGACTGTGCTGCTGTGTCTACTTTACTAACCTCTGTAATGAGACTGTGGATACCAGCCTCACCACCGATCAATATCAAAGGTCGCCCATTACGCTTGATTATTGTAGAGATGTGACTAGGTGACATTTAGGAGACATCCTGACAGCTTACATCCTAATGGTACGAAATACTTCTTTATTAGTGACTCCGGTTTTATAATATAGGATCAATTTAAAGGTCCTGTATTATGCAAAATTGACTCTTGAGCTTTAAGCCATGTTAGAATGTTTTTACCTCACAAAAACATACATGGAGTTGTGTTTTTTTTTCATTCACACGTTTAAGTAACCTTTGTTATTACTCTGTCTAAATCTCCAGTGCCCAAATTGCTCTGTCCCACCTTGTGATGTCATGAAGCAGTAGTTTTCAAGGTAACATCTAACATTTACATTTAGTTCAGTAAAGATTGACAATTCCAGGGCTGACATTATCCAAATTATTCCAGTGAGACTGTGTGGATTTTAAAAACACAGTGGAGCAGTTCCTGTACTACATGACATCACAAAGTGGAGCAGTGTTCTTTTTGAGAGAGAATTCTAATCCTAAACATGCAGGATGTGTGTGTTAAACAAACTTGAGGTATGTTTTTGATGAGGAAGCAACATTATAACATAGACTGGAAAACTGCATAATATGGGCCCTTTAAAGTTGCACTATGTAAAATTTTTTTCTCGTTTCCATGGAGACGTTATTACTTTGCCTGGAATGTTCAAAACAATTAGGATATTACATTTATCTACCTTGCCTTTATCCAATTACTAGTGCTCAAAAATATCTTGGAAAGCTGGAAATATAAATTCTGTGGCTGTGAGTGGGTTCACCTTTCCACAAGTCTGACCTGTAAGTTGGCCTAGTGGTGTCATTTACTTACTTTGCTGTCATTTACTACTTACTTACCCCATGGAGATAGATGAGTTTATTGCCACTCTGAAGAATATTTCAATCAAAAAATAACATTTTCAAGGACACACACAAGAGGCAAACTCTAAACCAGTTACAAAAAAAAAAAAAGTTACATAATGCACCTTTATGTTTTCCTTGTTTGATACCAGAGTGAACATTTTGACCGCTAGCCTGATACATTCCTATGTGTTACTATCATCATTAACAATTAGTAATAGAAGATACATTAGGCTGTACCCTATTGAACTTCCTTGTACCATTTTGGATTTTTCCAATTATACCTTTTTACTATGAGAAGAAACACATTTTTTTTCTAAACTGTTTCTTGTCCCAACAATTAGGACATTGAAACATAGTTGCACCACAGTTTTCAGTGGTTTTGCTTACCTTGTGCACTCCAACCATCCTGATTCACCAGATTTTAAGTGCTTTTCACAACTTTCAGAGATCAGAGCGGAAATTTGCGGTCTTGGTAATGCTAACAACAACTAGCATGGTAACGTGTACTTCCTGATTGTGCTAAGTTCCTTTAGAAAACAGCGCTTTCTCAAAATTTGTAATCAATTTAAAGATAAGCAATTTCTCATACACACACACTATGCCTAATCTCTTTATATTTTCTCTTTGCAGGTATCTTTTATCCAAAACCTGGTGTTCTGCGTGGAGAGGGCCTACCGTGTTCCAGACTTCGGCATGTGGGAGCGGGGCAGCAAGTACAACAATGGCAGCACTGAGCTTCATTCCAGGTGAATCTAATGTATTCAATTTCTAGTATATTTTAGTATTGTCACGATACTTGATACTGATACCATGATGATAACAAATAATTTTTTTTTTTAGACATTGGAATGTGATTTTCAACATCATCAAATTGTACTGCTTTATATAATATTACCATGTAGCCTTATAGCTGTGTAATCCTTCAGTGGTCCAGGCAGGTTCCATAGTGGTCCATGGGCGTATGCTAGTCTATGTGGTCATAAACTTGTTCTGATACAGCTCAAGGTTACTCTAAAGCTCCTCAGAAAAGGTAAATATCTGTGAAATTTTTAGTACTGGTTCTTGTTCAAATGAGTATCAGTATATACTATTTCAATACTAGTTTCAGTATTGATTAGTATCAAGTTTTTCAACTTTGGACAACTCTAGTGTATTTGCAGATAAAATACAAATCTTATTTATCTACTTAAACTGCTTACTTTCATGAACCATTTTCTTTGAATAGTTAGTGCTATGATACATCTACTCCATTCTTATCGCTTTACCAATGTTCTTTCACAACACAACTTCTGTAAACTGATATTTACTGTGAAAGATTGCAGAAAAACTACTGGCAGAGTTTTGCGTGGTTCATTTTTCTACCTTGGGGCCGACAGGGAGCACAATGTTGGAGAAGAAATGGATTTTAGCTTCTTATAACATGAAAGGTCCACTACTTTGTGTTAAGCTATTTATTAACTACAACATTTGAGGATTGGGTCTTGCTTTTTGCTCCAGTTGAAGATGTAGGAGTAAACTAAAGCAACAAAAATGTACTCTTATTTGATGCATTATGATGATGTATTGCTGGATTTTTATTCCCCCGTGTTGTTGAGCAAAATTTCTCTTACTCAGTACAGATACTGTATATACAGGTCAAAATAAATCATGCATTTTATTGAAGAAGAAACTGAAAACACTCTGTTCCACCTTGTGATGTCATGTTTTAATACAGGAAGTGCTCCACTGTGGATAATTTCAGCTAAATGATAGCAGTTAACTTCAAATAATAATAAGCGTTCTCAAACATGTGTGAATGAAACAATTCACAACTCCATGGCTGTTTTTGATGAAGTGACAGAATTATAACATGACTTAAAGCACACAAGAATCAGAGGGGTCGCCTCTCCACAGAAGTGACCTGTAACTTAGCCTGGTTTGGTCGCCATGGTCATAAAAAGGTTTAATACCATATTATGAGTTACACCTTAAAAAAAAAAAAAAATAAAAAAAATCATAATAATCTGATTTTGGGCATGTAAGTGCAGCCTATGCCAGTCACATCAAGACACTGAATTAGGGAACAAGACAAACAAATGTGTGTTAAAATAAGTTGTGGAAAAATTTTAAAATATGTATCTTCCTCTTTAGACTTCATTTATTTGTCAATGTATTGTTTTTATTTTGTGGTTAAAATATTATTAGTATTCTGCAGTGTTTGTAATTTTTCAATAATTACAAAAAGTGAGCCTATTTGGATCACGGTATTATCCAGTTACGTTGATTTTTATTTGATACATTAAAGCCTATTATATTTCCATTTGAGTAATCACATGCTTTTAAATGTCTGTGAAGATAACATTAACTATTTATCTGTCATTAAATTATTCTAAAAGCATATAAAGGTTAGTGTCAATCGCAATTACATCATTCTTTAGGCATTAAATCTATGTCTATCTATCTAGCTATGGTTTTAAAAAAGATCAAGTGGGGAATTAATTTGTTCTTTCTCATATCGATATCTTTCTGTCACTTAAATCAAGGCAATTACAAACATGGCAACTTAATCTAGCACCAATTTACTGCAATGTTTAGCTGCAAACCTGGCAGCAATTGGGCACCACAGTGGAGATAATTAGAAGATTTCTAATTAAATGTGTTTCTTAGATGCTTAAATTGAACATTGGTTTGTTTTTTTCCTCAGAGAATAATAGTCCAGCCTCACTATTTTCAGAAAAGGAATTTTGGAAAGCATGTTTCTTGTTTTTTTCTTTTTCTTTTTCAAAAAATCCTTTTAAGTATCACCATCAAACGTGGGTGGAATGGACTTGATATAAACACATTGGTAAAAAGAAATCTACTATTCAAAAGATAAATATTCATCTGATAGATGTTAGTATTCTGATATTTTCAAACAATAAATTTTACACTGCCAAAAAAAGCATAAAATATCAGATTTTTACTGTCTTAAAAAAACGGGAAAATGGTTTATAGTGGTCCACAGATACTCCTCACTTACCAAATGCGTTCCGAGCATCCTAATTAGTCACTTACAGTTTTGCTGTCACAGTAATGACAACTAGCATGCTAACGCTCACTTACACTGATTATTGGACAATAAAATGCGTGAGAATTAGATGCTGATTTATTTTAACCTCAAGAGCTGCTTGTACAGTATATTTGGGGAAGACAAAAAATCAGGTACATGGCATATAATGAGGAATATAACTCTCGCAAATGCTTAAAAGTTATTTTAGATGCAAATATGTGATGTATGTTAAACCTATTCAAAGCCTATTCCTGTATCAAATGAAAATGTCAAATCCAAACAACCTCCATCAAAGAAAGGGTCAGCCATGTTTGAAAAGATAAGGACTCGGAGTTAAAATCACTGTCCCAAAGCACTACCTGCCACTGATTAATGACTCAAGGTCAAATGTTCCTCTTCTCATCTCTCAGTTTTGTTGATAAAGATCCTCTATTTCTCCCAATGCTTATCTCACAAGTATGTTTTTCCCCAATTCTGAGCTATTGGCAGCAGTACGCTAAGATACCCCTGAAGAAAAGATAGCAATCACAGTGCCTTTCTCAATGGGGCATTTTCAAAAAATCAAATTATTACAAAAAGTTTTACATTTCCAATTAACAAGCCTATGCAAATGTGAACTAGGCTGAAGGGATTTTAATGGGGGTATGTAAACAAGATCCACACAAATGATTAAGAGTCATTTTTGGTCTGAGAGTGCCAAAATATGTAAAATTCATTGAAATGAGGAGGAAGGGATGCGCTTAATTATGCTGCTTACTCATTTGTCCATATCAAATTAAGTGATTCATTAGTTCAGTGTCATATTTATTAACTAAGAGGCAAGAGTCGAGCTGTTTTTATTTTAGCAAACAACTATATTGGAACTCTATCTGCTAGGGTTGTCAAAAATATTGAAAATCAGATACGCAATCAAAACTCAATACTCGTTAGGGCAAGTATTAAAAAAACACATTCACAGGACAGAAATTAACCTTGTTTGATTAGCTTTAGATCTTCAGCTATATCAGAACAAGTACTCGCGTACACCCATGGGTCAGAATGGAACTTACCTGGACGACTGAAGGATTACACAGATATAAGACCACATGGTAATATAAAAGAAAGTACTACAATTTAATGCTGAAAATTACATTCTATTCTATTCTACATATTCTACATATTAAAAGTATGTTTTTTCATCATTTCATCATTGCGGTATTGAAATCTGTATTGAGTATCAAGTGTAATCCTGTGCATCGAAATCAAGTTTGAAGTTTTAGTATTGAGACAACACTACTCTCTGCTACTAGCCTGATTCATCACCCTCACAGCATTAGAATTTGTTCACTCAATGGTAGGCAGGTACTTTTTTTCATTTAACCAATCACTGCTATTTGGTCATGACGTATGTAATGCGCCGCTAACAGGGCTAACTGGTATATTAAGCTTTTTCCAAATCCCATAGGAAGAAGGGAAATAATGCCTTTCCCCTTGATAAAATTCACCAAACATTCTCTTTGTTCCGGCTTTAAATCCTCGATCTTGGGAATCGTTGCCAACACAGAATGTACAGCCCTTCGCTGATTGGCTGGTGAGCGAACTTGCACTTCCAGGGTTTTTGTGAACCGTCTATTGTATTTTGATTCCTGACCTAGTTGCTGGAGAGAAATGAAATTGAGCGGAGGCACTAGGTGGTGCCAGCCTGGCTAGTCTGCTGCAGCCATACAGGCACAATAGTGAACACCACAATTATAGACTGCTACCCAGCTAATTCACAACATATATGAAAAGATAATGTGTGTTATTTACTGTATATTACTGATTGATGGACATTTTTAAACAGCAGAGGTTTGTGTTTATAATAGTACACGAGACAGCATCTGAATGACTAGACATAGTTAATTACCATTGTCAGTGTTAGGAGTGCTGTTGTCTTGTTTATTCATCCCTTACCAAGCTGATTCAATTGGCAGTTAATTATAAGATTCACTGGGATAACAGACAGGCAGCCATATCCCCAGATGTCAATTTACAAGGCATATAAAGCATTTTATTAAATAAGGCCAGTGGAATTTCTACGGCTAGAGTTATTTATTAAACTTTGCCTTACCTGTACTGTATTCTATATAGGCTGTTCAGTATTCTATATAAGCACTGCATGAATAGTAATTAGCAATAAGAATTCATTCATACATTCATTCAACCTGGGTGTTTTTTTTGTTTTGTTTTTTCTTTATTAATATAAATAGAGGCCAGATGTGTTTGTAGTTGGGAAACAGGAGTGATGATGACCATAAGGATGCACATCTGTTCATTTTCTGTATATCTTGCATTTCCTCAATTGCAAATTATTTTATTGTTTAAAAAAAAAAAAAAAAAAAAAAAAAAGAGGAAAAAGAAAGAAAGGAAAAAAGTGCATTCATTTTGTTAGCCCCTTATCTTGATGAGTTTTATGCCATGCTGCAGAACATTCCAAACAAAGCAAACAAACAATGTATTAATCTGGGGTATAATAATTTGTTACATGATTGTGTTAACATACAGCCATACTTTTAGCCTAATTGCTCATCTATTGCCATTTTTATTAATTAGTCTGTTCAAAAAGACAAATGCAATGCACTCAGAACAATCTGGGAATGACTCACAGGGTACACAGACTGGGATAATGGAGAAAAATACACATTTTTTGCAGATATTGACACACTAGAAAGCCCTCTGATATCCACCGATAATGATATTGTTAGCAATATATTGTCCATCTCTTGAAACTTTTAACCACCAGCTTGACATGGCATCGTTCTAGAGCGCAGAACAAAACAATTCTTTTCTGTTTCAGCCCTAATAGTTTTATAACCCTGGTATGTAGATTCTGTTACCAATACCGATGCTGATAATTTGATTTTAAGTCTCTGCCAGTACCCAATATCCAATATTAGGGCAGAAACTGAAAATATGATTTATTTTCTATTAACAAAAATGGCTTAAAGGTGCATTGTGTAACTTTTCTGGTGCTTTTCTCCACGGAAATGTTTTTTTTTCTTTGTCTGGAATGTTTCAGAGTATGGTATTAAACCTTTCAATCTTCATAGAAACCAAACCAGACCAAGTCACAGGTCTGATCTGTTGAGAGGTGACCCCACTCACAGTCAAAAGGCCTGGTTTTTCTAGGCATTTTTGAGCTATAAAACTACCTGTAATTGAATAAATGTAAGGTAGAGCTGTTTAATGTCATACTGTGGAACATTCCAGAGCAGAGCAATGACATATCCATAGAAACAAGCAGGTAATGAACCCTCCACCAGAAAAATTATACAATGCACATTTAAGCTTTGAAAAAAATACAAGTTCAATAATACAAGGCATTTTAGGCCAATATTGTTCAGTAAATCATCTTATTTTATTACACAAATTCATAGATCAAAATGAGCTTTCGACTAAACCGAAATCTTGTAAGCTATATCAGAACCATTAAAATGTTCAATATCCATAAAATGTGCGGTATCCAATACTAGTATCATATTGGTGTATCCCTAAATAGATTATACTATTATTTCAGGTAAACAAATACACTCTAGGTAAAGCTAATAGTGCCGAGCCTACAGTCTAAACTCAGGGATAAACATTCTCCAGCAACATTTTCATCATGCCATTCTCTCTCTCAACCTGTCAACTCCAACTATTGCATCACGACACTGTTTTGCTCCTGTTTCCTATTTTTTAACCTCCTGTCTCCTCACTCCACAGCATATCCTCTGCTTTCTGTGAGCGCCTGACAGTTCTGCCCACTACTGTCTACGCGCAGCTCTTCCTACATTGAATTAGCTCATGCCTCCATGTTTAAGGATCAATTTTTTATCTGCTAATGGTATTGAACAATTTCTGATACGTCAGCATAGCCCCTCTCTGCTCCCTCCTTTTTTCCTAAGTGGACATCTTGCTCGACTCAAAATGGAAAGCGAAATGACATGAAAATTCTCATCTTGTCTGGTCCGCAATCACAGTAGCTATAGCCATCGTGGATCCCTTGCCTTTTTTGGTTTAAATCGACATTATCTACGCTACCACAATTTACAAGAAACGCTATCCGGACAAGAAGCTATTTCCCATTCAAGTAATACTCCGCAGTCTAAAGATACCCACTAGCCTATTCCCGTCTTCATCTAACAAGCGTATTATGTCGCAATAAATCACTGAAGTCCTTTGTGTCATTTTTCTTTCCGCAGCTCCGTGGGGCTGGCTAAAGCTGCTCTGGAGGCCATCAATGGATTCAACTTGTTTGGCAACCAGGTACTTAAATAATTCACCTACTTCTAAAGGGGTCCCAAGATGCTCGTACATTCTCGGCTTGTCTAATTTTGTCACCCTTTGTGCTATCGCTGTGCAGATAGACGGCCTAGTTTGTATACGGAGTCCACAGAGATGTATTGTTCCCCTGCACATTAGTCAACAGTTGTGCTTCTTAAATTAATATTGAATGTGTTGTATTTATGTGTTTGTTCTATAATTCATGAACATAGATATAGTATAAGATAGTTTAAGGTGCACAATGTAATGTAATTGTCAACATCAAATCACTGTGCTTACTTTTATAATTACCATGTGACCTGTGTAATCCCTCAGTGGTCCAGGTAGGTTCCATAGTGGTCCATGGGCGTAGTCTATGTGCTCTTATACTTGTTCTGATATAGCTCAAGATCATTCTGAGGCCATGTTTATATAATGATGTCTGAACAGAAGAAGCAAAAGTGGCGTTGCGCCTTCGTTTAGACAAGCATTTTTGGGAGGAAATCTGCGTGCATACGGAGACGCAAAAGTGTGTGGAATTTGACTGGGTATGCTTGTACTTAAAGCAACAAGGGCATCTTTGGACATAGGGAAGTTTTCACAACACATTTTCATCAGCTACTCCTGCCACAAAGTTGTCCCACCATCGACTGGTTCTCTCAGGTGTTGTCCCTAGCCGTTTCGCTCGCCTGCGACTAGTGCATCCAGAATTTGACAGAGGTAATTACAGATCCTTCTCTGTTCACTAATAGTATCTCTGCATATTCTGTACATTTGTTGGGATGCCTCCTGTAAGTTTTTTAGAGCTGCCAGAGCAGTTTGAGGGTCCGACATATGGAAATGATCTGACATGTTTGTTTCTGTGTACTCTATGTATGTGACGTAAACGAATTTGCGACTTGATCAGATCTGACCAGAGTTTTGTATCTTGAGCAGTGTACACGGAAACACTAGAACAGAGTGTATTCAACTTTTCCACTCTGGAGGGTGGTTTCAGATTTTTGCTTTTTTAAGCCCCAAAAACACCATCACCATCTAAACAAAAGGCACCTGTAAACTGGCCCTAAAGCTATTCAGGAAAGCTCATTCTTGTCCTGTGAATGTGACTGTTATTGATATATTGGTATTTATTATTATTTGATTTACTTTACTTCTGACAACCCTTATAACAGTGCATTTTTTCGCAAAGACTTGCAACCGTCAGGTGGGTTGCAAGAGTTTTTTTTTAGCTCGCCTTGTCAAGATCTGCATGTAGGTCTGCAATATACAGTTCTGACACATGTTGACACAAGTGTTCAGACATGTTTTGTCTAATTTCTAATCTTTTTGTAATATTTTTATTGACTCTTTTGTTCCAGTATTGTTGTTCAATTGAATGTTGAAAAGAAAAATGTATGTCCAAATAGGCTACTTATGGATACCTTTTATTGCTGGTTCAGTTACTAAAACTCGAGTAATACTAATTGTTCAAAGAGACATGATCACTCAGTCAACAATAAAATATCCTCATTAATGTTCAATAATGGTCAAATCCACCTTTATTTTGTGATTTACAAATTATGTCCATTGATTTGGGTCACAAAGGTTTGTGACTTTTAAAATATGGGTTCCCAGAAAAAAAAAGTTTAGGAAACACTGTTCTAGTGGACGGTCTGCCTGCTGCTCATCTCCATGGAGATGTTATTGTTTTACCTGAAATATTCCACAGAATGGCATTAGACATTTGAACACCTCAAGCCAAGTTACTGCTATCTGTGGAGAGGCATTGCCAGTCACAGTAAGAATGTATATTTTCTTGGCGATTAAACACCTCATAAAATGACGGTAAAAACAGTAATGGAGCCTCTACTACTAAAGTTACATAGTGTACCCATAGACTGTATAGTAGAAGTGGACTAAGATTTGACTTTAAGATCAAAAGGCTCACAGCAGTAGTTACACAGAGAGGGGCGAGGTCAAGCAAAGGAACCACTCATACCCATGCTCACTTCCAATTTGGAACACGATGACTAAAGCGTTAGCTATGTCCATTTTTATGTACAGTCTGTGCGTGTACTTTTAAAAGTGTAATAATTTTTTATTTACACTTACAAAACATTTTACAGAAAAAGTTTTGTGTTTGCATTGCGTTTAGTAGAATGAGCTCCTCACTTTGGGTTACAAGATACTATGTTTAAAATCAGTTTTCTCTTAACCGAAAAGCTATCTATACTATAATGTGTCGTCAGTAGGTTATGATTGTTATGCAAGTAGGAGTGCATGTTACAGCTATTACCTTTAAGTGTATTTTTTATCATAGTTTCAAAATGTGCTTCTAATTGCACCTTGTACTACCCAGCTTGGTGTTGCTTGTAAATGGTCACATTTTTTATATAGCACTTTTCTACCTTACCTTACCTTACCTTCAAGGCACTCAAAATGTGTTACAACAATGAACCACTCACCCTTTCACACACACATTCACACACCAGTGTACACAGACACTGGGGATGAGGTGGAATAAGTGCCTTGTCCAAGGACACAATGACAGCATTCATCTGTGGGAGCTGGAATCACACCAGCCAACCTGTGGGTCAGTGGATTTGACTGCTCAACCAATAATATCTATGTTGAGATTTGAACCGCCAACTTGCGGATCAGTGGACTAACGCTCTACCTAATGAGCTACTGTTGCCCAACTGAGCTTCTCTCATGTACTACAATGTCAGTGATGCCCTCTCAATGCTCGTATAAACTTTAAAACACCACTTAACAATTCTCTCAACACTTTCTTTTTGACTTTGGGCTTTGTCACATTATGATGGATAGTCGTTCTTGATTCACAGTTTGTCTCAGAATATTTTACATTCTATCTCCGCTGCTTGCATTACTATTCCTTTTTGATTTCTTTCTATTATTCCATCTTTCCAAGAGACTAGAACATTCATTACATCTCCTAATGGATTGGAAAATGAATCCTACCACTTGTACCAACTTCTGTCTTATTACTGTATTTCTCCTTCACTTCACCTGGAATAGCTTTCTCAGCCCATAAAATGCATTTGACGCTGGAGTGTTTTCACCATCTTGTATGAGATGGTTATGTTGAGTGTATATTGGAAGTCTGAGCTACTTTGATCATCTCTGAAATGAGGCCTTTAACTGTGCACGCTGATAGATTTTGTTATCCCCCTCAGCCCTGTTGAAAGAAGCACTTAGTAAAAGGTGTCTGCTTTATGATCCATGTTGTCCCTTTACGAGAATAAAGCCATTGCAAGCCATTCACTTGCTCATTCACGATCGCTATCAATCCTTGAATTTCCTTTGATAGCTGTTTTGTTTCCAACGTCAAATTGTCAAAGTCTTTAAAAGAGACAAAATTGACTTTTCAGAGCTTTCAACCATGTTGCCATTGTGTTTACTACTTATTTTCCCCCTCAATGTTGTATTTAGAGTGATCTTTATTGTCCTGCATTCAAGACATCATTGCTCCAATCTACACCGTTTTCCCCGCACTGATACATGCCCACTGCTCTGTACTTCATTCTCCAATTTTATTTTCTTAATTGGTGATACACCTAGGATTTGGCAACATCGCATAACCATTTTGGCTTAAAGGTCCCATCTTACTCAAAATATACTCTTGTGAGCTTTTAGTCATGTTATAATGTTGATACCTCATTAAAATCATACCCATAGTTGTGTTTTGTTTCATTCACACATGTTTGAGTAACCTTTTGGTATTAGTATGTCTACATCTCCAAAGCTCAGAATGCTCTGTTCCACCTTGTGATGTCATGAAGTGGCAGTTTTCAAATTAACAGCTACCTTTTACTTATAGTTCAGTAGAGATTGGCTGAAATCATCGAAATGATTCTAGTGAAGGTGTATGCGAACACAGTGGAGCACTTCCTGTATGTATTATTTCATGACATAATAGGTTTTTTTTTATTTATAGGGTTTTCTGTTTAAGAGACTCCGCCTAATTATGCAGGATTTGTGAGAATGAAACATAAAAACATTTCCAGATATGTTTGTGACAAGGAAATAACATTATAACATAGATCAGAAAATAGCATAAAAAAATCTATTGCTTGCTAGAATTATCTGTAGCTATCCATAGGAGAGACCAACAGCATGCAGCACTTTTTTGTGTCCTAACACAATTTTTGAAACCGGAAGTCAGTGTACTTGTTTCCTTTATTATGTTGTTTTAGGTCAACATTGCGTTTTTAAATGTCCATAATAACAAGGATCCATGGGTGTCATAGATTATAACTTTAAAGAAGACATATTGCTCTTTTGTCAGCTATAAATTGAAGCATTGGGTGCCTTCTGAAGCCTGCTATCACATCTCACATTGTCTACAGTGAGAGCCTATTGGTCTTTGTGCTGCTTGAATGGAAACCGTATCAGTTATGTGGACACAAGATTTGGTATCCATGATCTCTTGGCTTCTTCCTGTGACAGATTTAGCGCGCCTGGTTAGATTGATCTTGCCAGGAGAAGAATCCTTGAGCTTTTAAAGCCCATCGTTAAATTCACAGGGCTGTGTAAACATGGCTGAACAATCAAATCCTCTCAGGTTCCTCTGTCTCTGCAGGGACTTGTCATCTAATTCACACCCAGCTGGAGGAGGGATACAGTAGACTGGACTCATCCCATCCTATAAATATTGCTTTTACTTTTTATAGGCAGCTTTTGTAAGATTGTATTGTGCACTCAAGTAGAAGAAGAAAAAAAAAAAGGTTAATAAGAAAATTGCAGTTTAAAAATATCAAGCTTCACTTCTGTAATAAAATGCAATTTCAAAAGGCTGCAAAACAAGCATACTTGAGCCCATTTTGGATAGATTGCCAGAGCATCGTCTGATTATCGTCATTTAGCTAATATAAAAATATGGAGATTTCCATGTTGGGGTTACGCTTATTGTACTCTAATCTGTGTGCCAACCTCATTAAAGGGCCCATATTACACTATCTTGAAATCTATGTTACATATCTGGCGTTTCATTCACATGTGTTTAGCTCACAAACCCTGCGTAATTAGGCTAAGTTTTTCCTCTCATACTTTGTGCCACCTTGTGATTTTTAATGTGGTATACTAGTACTGGAAGTGCTCAATACACCTTCACTAGAATCATTTGTATGATTTCAGCCCTGGAATTGACAATCTCTACTGAACAAAGAGTAAAAGGTTAACTCAAAAACTACCACAAGGTGGAACAGAGCATTCTGAGTTTGGGAGATTTAATTTAGTCTTACTCAAACATGTGTGAATGAAACAAAACACAACTCCAGATATGTTTTTGAGAAGGTATCAGCAGTAATACATGGCTTAAAACTCACAAGATTCCATTTTGTGTAATATAGAATCTTTAAGAAGAATATAATACTGACCTTGACCCTTACTACTGTGCAGTTACTCGTTAGTATATGTTACAACAGTTACAAGTACTGTAAAAAAAAAAAAAAAAAAAAAAAGTGTGCCCCTGTTTGTGAATACTGGCCACTTCTACACCCAAGTTGTTGTTTTTTTTTTTTTTTTCATGTTTTCAAGATTCTTTGAGGAGGCAGTGGTTAGCTTGTGTGCCCACTCTGTTCCAGCTGTGACCAGAACATACTGACATTGTATTATGAGCATACATGAGTCTGATGTGTGTGTGAGTGATGGTAGGGGCAGTTGGTGCAGATTGGCAGCCACTATTCAACCCAAGGGCAACTGTGGCAACTGAAGAAGCTTAATCATAAGCTTCTTCCATTGCCACAGGTGCTGAGTGTGGGTAGAACCAGGCTGCGTTAGAAAAGTTTCTGCATGAGCTACTTCAAAGTTCAGTTCACAAATTTCAAAATAAACCAGTTCATTCATAGTTGATAATTGTTTATAGTTAATAGTTTGTTCATAATTCCAAAAAATGAACTAGTTTATAGTTCTATTTTTTTTTTTTCAATACGTTGCTGCGAGCTATTATTTTTCAATATCATTGCCAAAGCCCATATAGAAGCAGCAATTATTTTATCAGACTTAACAATGAAACTATGTGTTAGATTTCATCTTCATTTCAAATTTTGAATTCCTTATCCCACCAGGGTTCACATTAGCATTAAGGGAACAGCATTTCCCCATTGTTGCTGTCCGTTCAGTCCACGCTAGAAGCAGCTGCAGCTTTCACCCCTACAGTATATTGTGTCATGGAGTTCTTTTAAATGTTCATATAATGAATCCTTGTTACTCCTGCTACAGTCGCCTCCATGCTGCTGTTTTGTTTTGTCTTGTTTCAATGATGAATGCGGCGATGTGATGTTGGTGGCTAGTGTTACTGCCAGATTGAATGTTTTTCCACTAAACATTAAAGGTTCTTTATGGTGTATTTAGATTGAACGAAGTTAAATAGATAGCGCAAGCCATTCATAGACACCAGAATGAACACATTCACACTTCGTTCATCAGGCAGTAATACAGTGAGTTCAGTTTACATTTGCCCGTAATAGGAACGCGTTCATGAACTATCGTCCAATGAACACTGTCAACAGGGTTCCAAATCTTGCTATGATGTGAGCCATATTGATGCAGGATGGAGATATGTCGCTTGTTCCCATATAGGCATGAGGCAAGGCAAGGCAAGTTTATTTGTATAGCACAATTCGTACACAAAGTAATTCAAAGTGCTTTACAGAATAAGAAATACATTAAAATCATAATAAAAACAAATCAAAACATAAATAATCATGAAGATTAAAATTAAAAAAGAGAGACATAAATTGGAGAGAAGAGTGCGGAATGAAAACCTTTCAGCTATATGCACAGTTAAACAGAAATGTTTTGAGACTGTATTTAAACAGCGTCACAGAAGAGGTCTGTCTCACATGTTCAGGAAGACTGTTCCAGGTTTTAGCTGCATGAACCTGAAACGCTGACTCCCCTTGTTTAGTCCTGACTCTGGGCACCAGCAGGAGGCCGGTCCCTGAGGTCCTCAGAGTGCGAGATGGTTCATATGACACTAACATGTCACAGATGTACTTTGGTGCTCGGCCATGGAGAGACTTGTACACAAGCAGAGCTGCTTTAAAGTCTATTCTCTGAGGCACAGGAAGCCAGTGCAGAGACCTGAGCACAGGACTTATGTGCTCGTACTTCCTAGTTCGAGTAAGGACCCGAGCTGCAGCATTCTGGATGTTCTGCAACTGTTTCACAGCTCGTTTGGAGAGACCAGTGAGCAGACCATTACAGTAGTCTAACCTACTGGAGACAAATGCTTGGATAAGTTTCTCCAAGGCTGCTTTAGACAGTAAACCTTTGATTTTTGCTATGTTTTTTAGATGGTAAAAGGCTGCAGATGTTATTGATTTGATGTGGCTGTTAAAGTTCAAGTCTGAGTCCATTATTACCCCTAGATTTCTTGCCTGATTTGAAGGTTTTAGAGAGAGAGACTGGAGGTGACTGCTGACACTGTCCCTTTGTTTCTGTGGACCAAACACTATGACTTCAGTCTTGTCAGAGTTTAGCTGGAGAAAGTTGTTTTGCATCCACACACTGATCTGTTGGATGCAGTGACCAAGTGAGTCCACTGGTCCATAGTCTCCTGCTGCCAGAGAGACGTAGATCTGAGTGTCATCTGCATAATTGTGGTAGGACACGTTATTGCTGCTTATTAACTGGCCTAATTGCAGCATGTAGAGATTGAACAACAGGGGGCCCAGGATTGACCCCTGAGGCACCCCACAGGTCAGGGCCATGTGATCTGAGACACAGTTTCCAATTTCAACAAAATACTTCCTGTCTTCTAGATAGGACTTGAACCAGTTTAGTACAGTACCAGAGATGCCCACCCAGTCCTCTAGTCTCTGTAAGAGGATCCCATGATCGACAGTGTCAAAAGCAGCACTCAGATCTAACAGGATCAAGACTGAGACTTTGCCTGCATCAGTGTTCAGGCGGATGTCATTTGTCACCTTGATAAGAGCAGTCTCAGTGCTGTGGTGGGCTCTAAAACCTGACTGGAAAACATCAAAGGAGTTGTTCATTTGGAGAAAGTTCGTAAGCTGTTGGTAAACAGCTTTTTCAAGGACTTTTCCAAAAAACGGCAGATTTGAGATGGGTCGGAAATTGTTCAGTACTGTGGCATCAAGACTGCTCTTCTTTAGGAGAGGCTTAATGACCGCAGTTTTCAACGCGTTTGGGAATGTTCCAGATTGAAGTGACATGTTCACTATGTGAGTGAGTGGTGAAAGTAAACTGTTGAGGACGGACTTTAGAAATCTAGTGGGTAACATGTCCAGGCAGCAAGTACGAGTATGAGAACATTGAAATCACTATGATGATATATTCCCATTTAGAACATATGAAGCTATTCCTATATTTCATAATCTCCAGTAAAAGATCATGTTTGATCATGACTATACTTACACTAGCCTAGGCTTTACACATGTACATGTGCTATGTACATTCCGACTTCTATAGTGTATCCAACTCCTTTATTTCTGACCTCCACTGCAGACCTTCTCTTTATAATTTAATACTGATCGACAGGGGCATGTCCAAATACCCACAGCGAGCAAGACGCATTTCCACTTTTCTTGATTTCTTTCTACATCATTGCAACAGCATAATGTGGAGAGGCTGACATTTACCACCTTAGGGACCCATCTCTTCTTTCTCAAGCTTATTCAAGGTAACTATTGCTGAACGAATGCAAGGTAAAATTACTCCCCCTCATGTTTTTTTTTTTTTTTTTTTCACTGCTGACGCAACACTGGAAAAGGTTGAAGTGAAACGTCCAGTACTCTGACAGCTGCCTACACCGGTGCCTTACAATCCACTGAACTGTACGATAAAAGGTTGCTGATTTGACTAAAACCTCTGACTAGCCTGACCTGTTTTTTGGTTAAAAAATACTTTGGTTATGCATAATACATTCGAGTTGCATTAAAAAGTGCTTAGAAGGTGGTCGGAGTGACAAGGCTGACGGATAAAAGTGGACTAGCGCTAGAAATGTTGTGACCACTTTCTGAGTTAAGTACACTGAAAAATGTCGGCCCGCCCACTGCTGGATTGAAGCGTAGCATTGTTGGTGCCACTTCAGTTTTGTACAATGACTCTCCATTCTGTGCTTGTCAAGCCCTCCTACACTGTATACCAAAATAAAATGTTAGCCCCTGTCGACAGCATAACAAATGTTTCCCTAATAACGGGCTTTGCTAAGAAGCTTGTCAGTTGCCCTCAAGTCATACAGATTTTATGCCAATGATGTTCAAATTGCGGTAATCTATAGGTGTTGTTTGTGTGTTTTGCTCTGCAGGGCTGCTCATGGTCGGTGATATTTGTGGATTTGGACGCCCACAACAGGAACCGGCAAACACTGTGCTCCCTGTTGCCCCGGGAGTCTCGCTCACATGTAAGTTCTGTTCTTTTATTTTTGAGTTTAAATTGCATTCATGTTTGGGAGACAACAAACAGAGGAAAACAGAGGACAGTTTGGTTTTAGGCCGACATTAACATCTGTCAAGGGACTGCAGTTAAAAATAGCCTTCATGGTTAATTCTGGCATATTTACCTAAATGTTAATTAATATGCACTGTTCCCCAAAAAAGTAAAAATAAATAATAATAAAAAATAAAAATGGCTTACTATGAAGCATGTCATCTGACTTTTCATGTCATAGATGACATTTTGACTATTCTATTAGATTTAGATCTAGAGTTTTTATTTATTTATTTGTTTATTTTGTTATAACATCTATCTCAATTTTTCATCATTCTGAAACCCACATTTCTCTCTCTCTCTTTTTAATGATCTCCATGGAGTATTTACTGTGGCCAAAGCACAGTGAATACTCCATGGAAACCTAGTCAAGCAATATATTGTAAATGTGTTTGCTAATTATATCCAACATTTGACTTATTATATTATTTATATCTAGGGGTGTGCAAAAAAAAAAAAAATATCGTATATATATATATATATATATATATATATATATATATATATATATATATATATTTTTATGTGATGATACAGTATCAATATTGTGGGTATTGTGAATATTTTTTGGTATATTCTACTAAATTATTTTGTTACAGTGCTACAGTTTTGGTGCTTGTTTAGAGGAAGGAACTGATTTATGCAGCAAATTTGACATTTTCACAGTTTTGATTATTAAAATGGGTGTGTTTCATATTAAGTTTGCACAAGAAGTGGTTTCACAAATACTTTTAGTATCACAGCCATGATTTAGCCATATTTTTTTATTGAATCATACTGAATCAATTTGAATTATATTGAGATCTGTATCGAGATATGTATTGTATAGTGGCCTATGTATTGAGGTACAGTATGCATCGTATCGGCAACTTCTTAATGATACCCAGTAGAGATGTAACAATAACTGAAATATCGTGATATTGTATTGTCAGAGTTCTCACAATAATATTGTGGACCATCACAATATATTGAATCACAAATCTCTTTGCTTAAATTAATAGTTATGGTGCAACAATAGCTAAAAAAAAAAAAAAAAAAAAGACTACATAGGGAACTACATAGCCCATGACCCTTTGCTCCATTTCAGTGCAGACTACAAGAAGAAATAACATTTCTGAGCACTTTTAAGTCTTAGTTCTTTGGATTAAGTCCTATTAAGGCAATTTAAGAGGAAAAAGTAGCATATTAACAGTTTTGTTTGTTAGCCTCCACAAAATATTGCAATAAATATCGTACCATGAAATGTATATTGTGAAAATATTGTACCGTATTGAATCATAGAAATCGTAGAGATTTGGATATTGTTATATCTCTAATCGTGAGCCTCCCCACCATTGCGTGAGCTTTCCCATGATGTCACAATAAATATCGTATAGTGAGGTTCATACCATGACAATATCGTATCGCGAGACTTGGATATCGTTACACCCCTAATGCCCAGCCCTATTTATATCACAATATAACAGAACCACTTACAATCAGTGGTGGAAGGAAGTTCAGTACAAGTACTTAAGTAACATTTTTAGGTATCTGCACTTTACTTTACTTTACTGCACTACTCCACAAAATTTTTTAACAGGACTGAAAAGTAGGCGTAGTTTTTATATGATTTTACGGGTTATTTTGACCATGTTTGTGGTGGGTTTCGAGTTCAAGCTTTAGCTTTAAGCAAGCAAAAATAAATACACAAAATTCATAAGAAAATTAAGAAATGTATTTGTATCCTTTTAAATAAGTAATTACTAATAAATTAACAACACTTAAAAAAAAAAACAACTTTGATATTTACTTACTTTTACTTTTTGCCTCTGTATCTGTATTTAAGTAACAGAACTGAGTACACCACTGATTACAATAAGCGATCTTTTGGAAATATAGCATGCAAATGATGCGCACAAGAAAACTCCCTTTAAATTTCTCTACCATATTTATTACTCTCTTGAGAGATGTTGACTTTTCAGTGTTGTTGATGAGAAATGTTAAAAGCAAGTGGTGTCTGCAGATATGTGGGCGGTGCAGCTGGAGTGAACCAGTCCAAAGTGGAGGCAAACTTATTCTGTGTACCTCCCAGCAGCGCGCAGACACTTAAATGATCACATCTCTGAGCTGAATGCGCCAGGCAGAATAGCAGCCATCAGCCGCAGAGGAAATGAGTGTAATTAGGCCAACCGAGTGATGTTATAGCCATGGGAGATAGACGTTAAAGGCCCACCAGTAGTGCAGGAGAACTAATAAAGTTCAGGATAATCATAAAATATCAATGTAATATCTCCCCTTCTTATGGTGTAATATTGGAATTCAATCTTCAATATGGACATGTGCAGTACTGCTGGTGAATATGTCTCTGAGCTGATGTCACCCGTTTTTAACCTGTGAAGACATTAACAAGGAAGTTAGAGCTGTAGTTAAGCTTTTAATCATATTAAAATGTTCTTACCTCCTTAAAATTATTATATGTCTGGAGTTGTTTTGTTTCATTTACATATGTTTGAGTAACCCTTTATTATTAGTGTGTCTACATCTTCAAAACTCAAAATGCTTTGTTTCACCTTGTGATGTGATATGGCTGTAGCTTTCAAAATTAGATCCAAAATAGTGCTGCAGACTCCCAAACAGTATTCCAATCATTACATCCTAAATTTACTAAACTGGTTTGACCATTACAGTTCCCATTAAATAATTTAAACAAATGAATGCAGGGAAGCTATAACGCTGGATGTTATTATTACCATATAACAAATAGTTTTAGCCTTTTCAAGAAACTATTTTGTGTTTTGTTATATGCTGATGGTTACCGGACAGTTTTAAAGTTTGAATTTGCATGTCTTTGGCTCGAAGCGCATAAATATCTCATTCAAGATCAAATTTAACAAAGGAGGGCAAGGTCTAGGTCATAGGTCTTTCTCAGCATTTTAATCTTGTGAAAACCTATATTATTAAACTTATTTTGTCCAGCACACAATAAATGTTTTTTTTAAACATACTGAAAAACACAGTAGCTGAAAAGACACTGCATGAAAGGGAGAGAGATAGAGCTTTATATTAGAGACGGATAACTGCTAGGGGTGGGATGAGATGTTATTTCCACACGATGAGACAAGACACAAGACTTGATCTATGAGAAGACAAGAAGAAGACAAGACGAGATTTTGAGTTTATAATGAATAAATTGTGCAATCCAGTTCTCAATTTTAGCCTCACCATTTTTTGATTTACTTTATTTAATATTTCTGCTGTCACTGTAGCACTGCTTTTTGGGACTGCAGTCTCGAAAATGTTACCCAGCTGTACTTGGCACCATTTTTTATTTTTTATTTTTTTTGTTTTTATCCAATCCAAATGTAAAAACATGGGGGTGAAAAAAAAACCCTCACAAGATCATTTTCAGATGTGTGCACAATCTTGTGGCAATTTTGTCTCATGAGATCTTGTGGTACAAGATCTTGTCCCTTCTCTAATAACTGCACAAAAATGTGACTACACACTTCCCTTATATTTTTGTGGGACTGAATTTGTAGTAAATTAAAATGACATAATTTGGGGAAAATAATCAAGACCGCCCCAACTATCTTCCCAAAAATATCGGCAGAGCTCACTGGCCATATTTTTAATTACATTGTTTTATTGTCTGTCATTCTCAAATTAAACTTTTTTTTTTTTTTCTTTTCCAGAACACAGATGCAGCTCTGCTTTCGACGATCAGCTACCCCGCCTTTGCCGTAGACGATGATGCACTTTACAGCCAAACACTGGACAAGATAATTCGAAAGCTGCGCGGCAAGTACGGTTTCAAGAGATTCCTCCGGGATGGCTACCGCACTGCCAATGAGGACAAGAACCGCCGCTACTACAAACCTGCTGAGATGAAGGTTGGTATCGTGAAAGCTTACAGTTTTCATTGTGGTTATAACGGAAGAGAAAACAGATCTGTTATTGTAGTGCTAAAGATGATTAAAGGTCCTATATTACACAAAATTGACTTTTGTGAGCTTTAAGCCATGTTATAATGCTGTTATCTCATTAAAAACATGCCAGGTAGGTTTTTGATGAGGAGCCAACATTATAACATAGATCAGAACACAGTGTAATATGGGCCCTTTAAAATACTAGATCAATTTATTTTTGAATAGCGTTATCTATTATTACTGTTCATTCAAACTTGCATTAAATTTACAGCTTTCTGGTCAAAACTGTCCAAAATCTGAGTGTGTGATGCCTCTAGTGGCCACATCTATTTCAAGTACTACGTGACACCCCTCCCACTCTCCCCTTTAGTCTTCCAGGCACTGCTCAGTTTACCAGCTCTATATGAAATGTGGTTGTGGGCGGAGTTTAGGGGTTTCAATTCAATCCACTTTATTTGTATAGAGCATTTTAAAAACCGGACAGTTTCCAAAGTGCTGCACATAATGGCAAAGTAAAAAGCAAAACAGTGGATCTAAAAGTCAGCAGAAATACCTTTCAGACAAATTGAACTAATACAATCAATCAGAGTAATAAAAATAATAAAAGGAACAAATTAGATAAAAACTAATGCATATAAAATAAATTAAAAGATACAGAGGACACAACTAAACTTATGTGTTAAAAGCCAATGTAAAAGTAGGTCTTAAGACAAGAGTTAAAATAAGATGACCTGATCCCCCCTGGGTTTAAGACTTAACTGAAACTGAACTGGTTCAAAGGTCCCATATTACACTATTCTTTGATCTATGTTATAATGTTGTTTACTCATCACAAACATACCTGGAGTTGTGTTTTTCTCACACATATTTAACACACAACCCTGAATATTTTGTGTTCTTCTCTTAAATGGAAAGCACTCCCTTCCACCTTGTGATGTCATGTGGTAATACAGAATGTGCTTCACTGCCTGCCTGATCTCATCAGATCTCAGAAGCTAAGGGAGGCCAGGCCTGGGTAGTACTTGGATGGGAGAACGCTGGAAATTCCAGGTGCCACAGAGGGGCGCCAGTGGCAAAACTGCTGTTGTGTCCTTAGGCAAGACACTTCACCTGCATTGCCTAGGAAGAAAGTGGAGTGTGTGTGAGTGTTAGTGGTGGTCAGAGGGGCCGATGGCGCAGATTGGCAGCCTCGCTTCCGTCAGTAAATAACAATAGTTATTTGCCACTACTGAGTGTGGAGTGAATGAACAATGAACTGTCAAGCACTTTGGGTGTCTTGAAAGGCGTTATATAAATGCAATGATGATTAATTAATTAATTTGTATGATTTCAGCCCATGAATTGCCAGTCTCTACTGAACTAAAGTTAAATGGTAGCTGTTAACTTTGAAAACTACAGCTTCATGACATCAAAGGGTGGAACAGAGCACTTTCAGCTATGGATATTGACTGACTAATAATAAAGCTTTACTCAAACATTTGTGAATGAAACACAAGAATCCATTTTGTGTAATACAGGATCTTTAACAGCCAAAATACTGAAATCTCTAATACAGCATATACTTATACCCATTTGAACACAAGGATTTATCCCTCTGGGTTTTCACTCCTCATTGTTAAGTGTTTGTGTTCCAAGAGTAAGCTGCTTGTATTGGATGTATTTGTGTGACCGTGCATTCATTGGCCTTTCTCTGAATCCCCCGTGAACCTAGCAAAATAGCACTTCACAGCTGAACTGAAGAGTACATACAGTGAGTGAGTTCAAGGCCGGGTGCTTAATGCAATACAAGTCAGTGCTTTAGCCTCCGCGCTAACCCTGCAGCATTAATGAGCTAAGGGAGCAAGTGTTGGAAGCCACACAAGAAGTGGGCTTTAGGGTATTTTATGAAACACGGATTGTTGGAAAATTTGCACTTTTGATGACCTTTCAAGCTATTCAAATTTGCACAATATTACAGCTTTATCTGTGTCAATACGTCTTAATGGGGACAATTGTTCCTTTCTATTGTAAGGCAATATATGACCTAAAATAAGGGGAATTCTGCAGCTGAAAGCAAGACTAAAGGCTGCCACACACAACAGGAGAATTTGCCCGATTTTGGCTGCGATTTGTTTCTCCAGGCATGGCCCGACTTTGTGTCTTCGTGTGTGATTTTGAAGCCACTGCGCTCCTCATGTGTGGTGTCAGTGTGACTCTCAGCTGCTCTGTCAGATCATAACCACTAAACATCAGCAACGCTACAGGAACAGATAATAAAACAGAGCATCAGGGGCAGAGGAGTGACGGACACAGAGACGCAAAAACTCATGATATAGCGAAAATAATGTGAAGACTATAACTCACCTCTTGTAAAGTGGTAAATTTAAAGTGCAGCATCTCATCCACATTATCCATAGAAATTGTCCTCTGCAAATAATGACATCCAGTCCACAAAACCATGCTATTATTTCAGGTTGAAGCGTTCTTTGGAAGTAAAAAGGGGAGAGTAGTTCCTCACATGTTTCTGTTTACATCCACATAGCACATGGACCAAGGTGAAGCTGCAAATTTGCGATAGTGATTCTACTTCCTGTGGACTTTATTGCCAATCTTTGATGCTTTAAATCATGTATCTGAAGTATTGCACCATATATCACAAATAATAGCACCATTTTGACTTGTATCTAAAATAGAAGTGCAGTGCTCTGATTTTTTGAACACTTAAGAATCTCAGAGCGAGTGGTTTTACTGTCAACAGGAAACAGCTGACAGGATGACGCTCACAACTTTATAGCCTGTGGTACACAGTCATATCCCACTGCAGTCTTTGAGATCGGAGATTTTAAGTCTCATAAGATTCTCCTTGTGTCTGTGTTGTGTGCTTTTTGTTGCATGTTTAAAAATCGTTTAAGACTGATAAATCCTGTAGTGTGTGGCAGCCTTTAGTGGTATGAAGAAGAAGTATTATGCAAAGTCGTCTTTTTGCTTTCTAGTACTTTGTAACGTTACATCATCAGCCATTTCTCATAAATATACAGGAGTGTGATGGAAAATATCATAATACAACTTCACAAACCTGACATGATGTGCAGTAGTGTCTTAGGTGAATGCACCTTGATTGTGGCGTGATGGCACTGTGAATGGGGGGTGACTTAGCATGGGGGGCAAGGGGCGAATAGAGCATTTTCAAAACAACATGTCGATCAAAGAAGTGTAATACTCCCTCAATGAACTGATATATATAAAATCTATTCCCATGTCTTACCTAATACAAGCTTATTGCATTTAAAGAATTTCAACAATAAAGCAGCGTCCTACACCTGTGCTATATAAAGCCTTTGTAGCCAATGGGGAGCAGTTCTCAATGTGCTTTAGCAGGACTTGACAGATTGCTGCTTGTGGCATGCACAGCTGCAGTGTGCCTGTGAATAATGCTCGAAACAATATCCCCCTTTTAGCAAATGAGATTGCTTAGGGCTGTTGTAGATTTGCAAAATTGTCAGAAAAGAAAGTTGAGCTAAGGCAAGAGTAGTGTTGTGGAATAAGATCTGTTCTGCTGTGTTGTCCTTACACACAAATGGGCCTAAAGTACCTACTCGGAGCTAGGGATGGGCATTCGATGAAATTTTCTTAATCGATCGTTGGAAGAATTAACGATCGATTATCGATTAATCATTAACGTTTTTATATTAAAATGATAATCGTTATTATTACTATCTGCACTACTAATCTGCATAAATAAATTCAACTTTACGACATATAAACCGTAACGACTCAAGAGCCACATCAATCCGTTTGACATTATAATGTGTTTAATTCAGTTTTGCGCAACTCTCACAGAAACCAAACTTAAAACCACATCGCTAATTTGCATAAACTCAGCGAACATAAAACTACAGCTCTTGTGTCGCTGATGCGGTCAGTTTCTGTCGGATTAAAAGACATGATTCAGTGGAATACAGGTTAGTGACCAGATTTGCGTTTGTCAAAACCAGGACACCGTAGGTAGGAGGTGGGGACTCGTCATCGACATTGCGCGACTCTCACCTGGTAAAGCTTTTTTCCACTGGACACCGAAGCATATGTTCTTGCTTTGTACACTGTGCACATGGACTCACACTTGTCCCGAACGCAACGGAAAGCGTGGAATTTCTTGTACAAATCATCGTTAAATACGCATTTGTGCTTCGGTACGTTGCAGACTGACCGACTGTTTGTGTTTGCTCGCTCCTTCTGATGCAGAGAGACACATGTACGGACCCCTGTTTGGCCACGCTACGCACAGCAACCTACATTCGGTTTGTCGATTAAAATTAACGTAATCGATGAAATTCTTAATGATCAATTATCGATTAATCGATTAATCATGCCTATCCCTACTCGGAGCTAATGAACACTTTTGCAACTAACTTTATTTTATCGTATCAAGGTAAAAAGTTGAACGATTCACTGGCAATTAGTGCTAAGGAAAATTGTTGTTGTTTGACAACACTTTTGATACCACAATGATACCATCAAACTTTCTTTTTTCACAATCTCATGTAATTCAAGCAGTTATAGTACTAGTTTTTTTTTAAAGTGCACCTATCCTGCAAAATCAACTTTTCAAAGATATCAACTGTTATAGTTCTTAGCTCTTGTTTAGCCATTGTTTATTTTCAAGATGCCATTTTGCAGACCAACCCCATTTTCACTGCTTTTCACTGCACTACTCCTCTGTACTTACTTCCTTCTCCAGTTTTATTTTCTTAATCAGTGATACTCGCCTGCTTTCCAACTTCACTGCTCTTCTGTAGTGATGGTGTTTACGGCGACGTCAGCTCCCCTTGAGCACTGCAGTTTTCTAATGAGGAAGCCAGTGGTCATGTTTCTTTTATTAAGTCGTTTTAGAAGAATATTGCGGTTTAAATATTACAAAATATAACATAATGATCCAAGGATGTCATAGATTATAGCTACTGTATAGCAGACACAAGCACAATGGG